CCGAAGTCTGATTGCAGCCATTTTTCAAGTGGCAACCCTCAACTTTCAGGGCCACTCAGGACCATTTTTCAACCGTAGTTTTCAGCCCTTCTGTCCTCATATGAAAGCTAAAAGACCCAGGGAGTTGATCCTGACAACGATTTACACAATCTCACCATTTTGGGGGCCAAACAATCTCCTTTTTCAAAAGATACTGTGGAAGGGGGCACTTTTAATGGTAATGAGCTGGTCAAAAATTCTCACTTGTATTAGTGGTCTGCACCCACAACTGCGGGAAAACCAACAAGTTTGTCTGCCGCCACCATGCGTCTCAAAATCCCCCCATGAAGATTATGTATCTGAGGTCGTAATAGAAGGAACGCACAAATACATGGAAGTTCTAATAGCATTTGCTGAAAAGGGTCATTTTGTAACTCACTAAATGTGGAGATTTGATTTCCCATTGTGGTTCACTGGATATTGGTTACAGTGTGTTTTTATTTGCTGACCATTTCAGTGCACTTTTTGTTGACAACAGAAGGCGTCCCTTAAGTCGCTCCTGGACTGGTCTCCATCACTTTTTTAGGGACCGGTAGCTAGCTGCACTTTAACGTATGCGATTAGCCCTGTCAATTTGCATACTGAATATTCGATTTTTTGTCAGGGCAATGGCAAAGACCTTTAAATGAATTACGTTTCTGCAAGGAGGCAAATAAAACACAAGTACCTATCCTTGCTAAGCCTCTGTTGATCACAGTGTGGTAATTTATTTTCCAGTGACTATGATCGATGAATCATTTTACGGCAATTTATTTCAAATCATATCAGTAGTTATTGTGTTAAATTTTAGATAAATGATCAATTTACGGTGAAGTTATTTTCAGAAACTGAGAAGAAAAACCAAAATATGCTGACAGCTGCTGCTTGAATGTGCATTGAGCGGAAATCGTTTCGTTATTTACATACAACCAGCAGAATTCTGCCGGTTTCATAACCCGCTACCGGTTCCTACGTTCGGAGGACGTCTGCAGAAAGACGTGTGGAGACTACGTACTGGACGGGAACCAGTCTAAGTCGCCCCAAACTTCCCATGTAGCAGTGTACTGTATAAACTATAAACCATGTGTTCATTCGGCTGTCAGACGTACAAATATGCTAGAATGTTTATTTTAGTGAAAGTACAATTTATATTTATACAACCAATATTTTAAGTAGAAAATTATTTGTTCAACTTCACAAATAAACTTCAAATTGGTCAACCGACAAGGATGTTCAGGTTCTCATAATGTCACGAAATCAGATGAAAGACGAAGACGAAATCAAGTTTAATGTCGAGATAGAAATTTTGTGATTATTGTCAATTTTTTTCAACATAAAGTATGGATAAAATACATGCCAAGCGAATTTGTGGGTTTTTCTCAGGCTCAAAAAAACTTGTCAGGATTCCAGACTCGAGTTTATTTTTTATTTGTAGACTCATCCTGACCCTTCTTAGCCCTATTCATGACTTGCTGTGATCCTAACTCTTATATTTTTCTTTTGAATGTGATGATTATGGTATTGTAGTCTGATTTCTGAAATAAATTGTTGGCTCATTAGCACTGAAAAGAACCGAACTGATGAGTGAAGTGATTTGAGTTAAAAAAAAATTGGACACTGCACTTAAACAGGGTTGTCTCCCACACGTTTCATTTTTGTGTCAATCTTTGCAGAAGTTATGAAAAATAATCCTGATAAAGAAAGGGGTGTGTGGGCAAGGGTGTTCCCTTTGGCTGAAATATAATTGAAGTACATTAATTATTTTCCATTTTAAGGGGCTAAGAGTGGCTGAAAAGCAATTAACTGAACCTACTGTGGCTTGATTGCACAAAGCGTTTTTGTTTATTGCAACAAGATTTTAAATGGAGTAGGCTTATATGGACTTTATTTTGTAAGGGCTAGTTACGCCACCGTATGGATATTGCGGCAGGGGGCATGGGGGAACACTCAGACTTTTAATCCTGCGCCCTTTATCGTTAACTTATAATTTGTGCGCCACGGTAGCAAACGCCCATTTAAAGCACCAATTATTTTCAAAATAACATTTTTTGTGTAGTCAACAAGTGCCCTGGCGTGGCGAAGAAATCGCGGATGATTTGCTGTTTTACAGCACGAATGAAAGGAGCATACGCCAGCTTAGTGAAGCTTAGAGTGGGGGCGCTCTGCACCATGTAACGGGCCTATAGAGCTATAATTAATTCAGTTACCTCTCCTTAGCTCACCTTTTGCGCTTTCTTCTGAGAAAATTATAGCATCGAGCCTTTCTTTTAATGCGGCACTCAGTTTGATGTGTTTTAGTTTGTTTGCGTTTTTGTTTTATCTCCCCTGGGCCGTGTAACCACTGGCTGGAAACGGAGGAAGAAAACCGCACAAACGGAGGGCGCTGTTTCATTTGGGTGAGTAGAGCTGTTTTTGGAAAGTGTCAGATCAACGAATCAAGTTGGTTGAATAGGAATGAATTATATCCTAATGGCTATGAAAGGTATAGAGATATGTAAACAATATGTGCAGTCACTTCTTGACATGTACATGTAGGTATTGTGTACATACAATGAAATATCAACCCTTGAAATCATCTGTAACTGTACATTTTTCCAAATTAGCAAAGCAAACTCCCATCCCTAAGGTTTGACAACTGCGTAGAGACACTGCAGGAAATTACAAATAGGGAATATAATTTCAAGTGCATTTCAGGCATACATGCACTAAGAACTGACTTCATGCTGTTTCTCTTTGAACGGATACTTAGAGATTGTTTAATGTGATCAGTCCAGGAGAACGGTTGTACTGAAGGGTCACCGAGCACGTAAAATAATTATCTTTGAGATCAAGAAGGAAGAAAGTGCGGATCCAGAAATTTGTAAAGAAGAGACAAGAGCGTAGAAATGTATAATTTTGAATGACCAATCACAACGACCATTGTGATTGGTTATTATTCTTCATAGATGCATCATGCGAACAAACTGACTGACTGAAAGATTAACCATAAGCCAGTGGTAATCATAATTAATCGAGAGTGAATCATTCATGCTTCGGTACCAAGATGGCACAGACAAGGTGACCATTTTCGCAGCTTTTCGGCTAAATTTGACAATTAAAAAAATGGTTTTGACAGGAAATTTTGCAGAATTAGTATGTTTACCAGATTTCTAGCAGAATTCTGAAAGTTTTCGAATTCTAGTAAGAATTTTTTTTAGATACGCTGTTTTGAACAATTATAATTTTTTTTAAACCAAATTATCAATTTTGTTGTATAAACTAAAGTTATCCAAACCCACACACGACGGGAAAGGTAGGCCAGTCTATCATCTTTTTCGGCATTATTGTATAACTTCTGCATGTGATTAAAGCGTTCACAATGTATATTGTTATTGTATTTTCATTCCTGGCATCCACAACTTTTTGTTTTGATTACTTCCGACAGGTGAATGATTCATTCATTCACGACGACCGTACCGCAGATTTACTGCCTGGTACTCGGCGGCACTGGTATAAATCACATTATCTTCTCGTTGATTACCAGCTTTTAATTTCTGGGAACGTGTATTTCACAAACGTCCAGTAGGCGCGTAAGATTACAGTGTCACGTATGTCATCAGCTACTTGTGATTGGGGCTGTAAGATAAGGACAATGAACGGCCATTTTTTTTCTGAATTTGGCAATTGTGGTCAATCTTGCGCTGTCTTTCCGGCATATTCCTGCCGTGGTCCCCGTTTGCCATGGCATGGTTTGTCGTTTTAGTGTCAGTTGTTTTAGTGCAGTGTGGTTCATCCGTGCTGGGATCATATAAGCCTAGTATTGGTAAGTTAAAATAAAGTGTGATTTCAAAGCCACCTAGATTTTCATGTTAGGCCTATGTTGGCATGACCGGATTACATGCATTGATGGTTTTGGGGACGGGCCTAGTCCAGGTTGGACGTCAGTCTTCATTACATTACGACTGACGTCCACGTCCTAAGATTTTTGTACAAGACGCATGCTGATCAACTCGTACACATTCCTACTCGTGCACACCAACTCGTACGCTAACCACCTCATACACTAGCCTAGCCCCACTAGTGTGGCACGGACTCTCACTCCCAATCCATCCTTAGCCACACATCCGTATACGCAATTTCGTGTCGGCGTATTGAACATCTCGACGCACCCACTGATCATCGTGGGCGCAATTTCTTTTGCACACGAACATGATTCTTGACCTTTCCGCTTTCTAAAAACCATTTATTGAATGACTTCACTCAGATTATTCAGGTATTTTCCAGTCTTTTTAACTGTGTCCATTCAATCTAACGGATTCGCTCTCGCAGTTGCCATCTTTAAAATAAGGTCGTTGAGCATTACGTCGCTTGACCCCTCATCGTCTTGAGGCTGTTCCATGTCAAGACATCTAATTGGTACATGTAGTATATTCCGTGTATTACATATGTCTTGACATGGCTGGAACATCCGTCAACAAGCCTACCCGGCTTTAACCTGCCTGCCAATATAAAAAATGCAGTCTGTTTTTGTTGGACTGGGGGCTTCAGACTGACCAGTATACCCCCATTGGTTACCCTTAAAATGTTTATATTTTGGTCATCTTTATATTTTGGATTTATAAACATAAATTTGCAAAACAACCTGCTATTTTATAAGAAAAACCTCGTCAGCATAGCCGGCTTTTTAATATGCAGGGTTCTTGTATGGGAATAGTTCATCAAAGATCTCTCTTTGAAGTGTTTATCATCTATAATTTGTTTGTAGATTTTTATTGATTAAAGATTGCTGTCACGCAAAACTGTTTCGCTGGGAGAATTAAAAATGATTCTATCATCACTAACTGTTAGGTAGACCTAATGTTTGATCATTTTCATTTCATTTTTTCAAAAATTGTGAAGCATAATTATAAAGTAAACTCATGCAGAGGATAGGAGTGCGGTATGGATGGTTTCAGGCATGCAATTATTTGCACTTCTCGGGAAGCGTTGAGGCGTGTGATAGCATGGAAGTGCAATTGCACGTCTTAAAATGAAAGGACTGATGCACCAGAGAACGGCTAGAAACAGTCCACAGCAATGACAAGAATTAATGTTACTTGTTATTTTCCTGTTTCCGTCTGTTGTGGTGATTTGTTGAATCTCTTAACCCATCGGCTGTAGAAATGAGGATGCATAGGATTTAAAGATGTGATATTGGCTTCTATAATTTTTAGTATAAAAGGTACAAGTGTTGAAAATTTTAGTCATAAAATTTTTTACCCGATTTTCGACTCTTTATTGATTCGAATCCATTGTCACGTAGTGCCAATCGACACCACCTTCACAAAAGGGGCCTTATTTATGCCAGACTTTCCAAACCATTATCAAGCACAGTTGGGTCAAAGTGAAAATAGAGGAAGACTCTAAACGTACTCGCCATTGGCTGAGGCTGCGTCAAGTCATTGCTGCGAGCCAGTCAGCTTGCGCCACACATTACAGAGCATGGGCTTCAAAAAACTGCAAGAAAGCTGTGCACTTAGGGCCTATGTTGAAGCTATTATACATGTACATGCATCTACATAAAAGTGAAGGTCGGTGCATTAAATGTATTTTTCCATGATAAACAATCACATTTTGAGGGGGAAAAAAATAGTCAACTTCAGGCCACCGTGTAGTATTTCAGATCAGCCCAACAAACCCATTCAGGTGAGAGGTGACAATGTCTACTCAGGTTGCCTATAATTTCAACTTGAGTGACCCCATTGTCCATCAGAGAATGCATTGATCAGCTCCTCCCCCCTGACCACAACTGACAGGCTTCTATTCAGACATTGCTGTCACTTATTTGAAAAGCTTCCTTTGTGAGGTACACACTTCCAATTTGTACTTGTCACAGCAACGTGGGCTTCCTGTGGTGTGGCCAGAAGTAAATGTACAAACATGTATTCAGTGCTTCCTCTGCGTTTTTTTCCACAGAGCAGACTACATAAGTTTCAAGAGAAAACTTTGTGTCAGAATTTCACATGCCTGCATGTACTGGTACTTGTTCATGTACAGTGCAGTATCAGATTTGAAACTTTGCATTGTGGGAGTTACACGTAATGAGGTACTTGGGCTTGTGGGTACACCATGAAATCAATCTCTTCTTAGAAGAACCAGTTAGGGGTGTGCATTTCCTGTTTTTTTTTAACCGGGTGCCCGTTTTTTGTCATCATTGGGTACCTGGAAAACACTTAATAACACATGGCATAATGTGCAACCCAGGTGGACCATGTGCCCGAAACAGGGCTCTTTTTTGCACATAGGAAGAAAGCAGCACATTGTTCTAAACGTCGTGGTTAATCTCTCCTACCTTTTTAATTAAACCAAATTGTCACCTTCAATTTGCAAAATCTTCTTTTGGTAGGTACATGTGTATGAAACAGAAAAACAAACTTTTTCACGACAAAACATCAGAACAGACCTCCAAACCACCTACACATCAGCTACTGCTCAAAGGAAATGTCCCGGATACTGCACGACCACGTATGTACACGCAGAATGCACATGCACAAATGGTGAGCGCTGGTCGTGTCACATGCGGACCAGATCATTGCTACGTACGTCACGCATTAGAAGGCTTTTATGTACAAAAATACATGTACGTCTGTAGCTTAGACAATGCCCACACCATTATATCCACTTACTTTGAAGTTTCTGATTCAAAAAACCACCACCAAAATGTTTCAAACAGCGTTGACAGTATCGGAAGTCTCATTTATGTAGGGTTAGGAGTCATCACTGTCAATTGCATTTCTTTTGTCGGGGGACGGGTTGTATGCACGTTGCATAAACCAACATTACCTGAAACAAATCCTGGCTTTCAAACTGTTGAAGCTAGCCTGATTGCTACTGCGGGCCCAATTGTAGTCCCCTTCAGGCAGTCCAGTCACTGTAGCAGTCACGTGACTGCAAAAGGAAGGGTCTTGTGACCACACATAAGAAAACCCAAATGATAAAAACAGGACGGTGTGCAGCGCTTCACGTTGTAAACAAGACTAAGAGATACGAAGATTTTGCCACACAAAGGTATTACGAAAAAGTGGTTTATTAGTGGTTAATTAGTGATGACTCCTAACCCTACATAAATGAGACTTCCGATACTATCAACGCTGTTTGAAACATAAAGAAATTTTTTTTTAAAATCCCATTCCCCTGAGGTTTGAGTTGGCGAGATGTTAATGTATAAGTACTTTGACAAGTGACGTTTGACTGGCCGACCTTATTATGACCTGTCAAACATTGCCCTTTTATTTTTTTAATGAAAGAAACACTTAGATTTGAAATACTTTTGCACATACATGTATGCAAAACATCCTTCCTGCTTTTTTGTTCGATTCGTTATCCACAGTTCCGCTGAATCACTGAGGATATTCATATTGCTTTAATGTAAATGTAATTTTGAAACTAAAGTGAGAACAACTATGGCATATTTCTTGGTATCAAAAACTAAACTGGTTCTCTAACTCTTCGGGTTTATGGAGCACATTCAGTGCTTTGGTTACCAGCTAATAATAAGAGGCCAATCAACAGTTTCAGTCATTTTCCTAGTTCCAGATCGCAGAAAAGAAAATTCTTTAGTAAGATTGCAGCTACAAAAATCCTCAAATTCGAGTGAACTGTGGTAAGTAGTCAACCTTGTGTTTTGGAGATACCTCAAAGCTTTTGAATTCGGACTCACAGGATCAACGCAAGTGACAATTACACCTATGGAATGGTTTTGGATTGAGACAAAAAACTTCTTCACGAATAAAAAGTAACCATGTGAAAAATCTAGTTTTCAGTCAGAACCATTGTGAAAAGTTGCTTTTCTGATGAAGAATTTCTCAATTTTGAGAAAATTAGTTCAAAAGTAAGAATTCCGATGAATTCAAAGTAGAAATTGCATAAATGCTGACTTGACTTTTCAGCTGTGCAGCGAGCTATCAACGGTTCTTCCCCCCTCCCCCACACACCGCACAGTACCACACCGAGCCCATTACTTCGCACACATGTACATGTCTGCTACGCCCGTGTAGTTGAGTTCGCAATGAATTTGCTTGCACGTACAAGTAACGCTGCGCGATCTGAAAGAAGGGGGGAAAAGCTTTCAGTTTTTGGTCAATTTAAAAAAACAAAACTCTCAAAGTAATTTTTATTAAACAGACATTAGATAAAAAGATTTATATGACTGTTTGATATAAAAAAAGGATTTGAAATCACACGTAGGGAGTGACCTATTGCCCTGTAAATCTTTGTCCTTTTTTTTGCTCTCGTGAACTAGGAAAAATTTGAAACTAGGAAAACGACTGTAGTACAATGGGCAGGGTGGATAACAAAAGTTGCTGTCGATCTCTGAACTGCAGTTACATGTATGACCGTGGGACCGGGTTTTAAGCGGCATGGTGATTTTGCAGCAAGTCTGCCCTTCAGTATCAAATTTCACAGACATTTTATACATGGATTTTTGTTCTTATTTATATTTTTTAAAATATTTTTGTTATGGGTACCCAGCCCGAAAAAATGGAACCAGGGTTCTAATATCGACGGGTGGGTACCTGGCACAGGCCTAGAATTAATGAGTTTTAACTGGATGTTTCAGCCAGGATGCTCTAGCCATCCTCAGGAGAGTGTGCCGGACTCGAGGAGAGAGCTCTCCTGAGGAAAGCCTTAGCATCCTGGCCGAAACGTCGAGTTAACACTCACCGGTTCCTCTAAGAACCACACCTCTTTCAAAAGAGATCAATTCCATGGTGTACCCACAAGCCTTCATCTCATATTCTCAACTTTGCATTTTTTTATGCACTTGTCTGGCACGCAACTTTTCCTTGGATCAGCCGATATCCTCGTTTTTCACTTCACACTCATGCCATTGAAAAGCGAACAACAAAGTCTTTTGAAGATTGGAATTGCCACTGTTTTCATCAAAGTCCAAGTTGCACACCTGACTTGTAGTTATGTACTATCACAGGCAGTCAAGACCCACTGTTTTTTGCTCAACTCTAATGTACATGTACATGTATGTGTACTTTGGCATTTACTGAGGTGGAGGGGAATACTGATGCTTTCTTAATTACACCTTGAGGCTATCAAACAAGCCCAGCATAGCTGAATTCTGTCCTTGACTATGTTAATAAGCAGAGGAGGAATGTAGCACTGAGAAATGTGACAATTTCTCATTTACATGTACATTGTGCATACCATACATGTTCTGCTCATGTACGGTTCATACATAACCAATAAAACATGGAACTTTGGGGATGCTCGATTCACACAAAAGAGTGTCATTTTTTTGTTGTTTTTACATCCTGTCCCATATATCTGGAAAGGAAAAACGCAGTGAATATTTCTTAAATTCACTTCTTGTGTGTGGTTAAATGCTTCCTCAGTGTATGAAAACTATTTAAAATCTGTTTGGCATTAAATGAAAGTAAAAGTGCACTTTTCGAACGTTCAAATTTGACCAAGCTTTTTCAGTCAAGTGAGGGCATTGTTAGTGGGATGTAAATCCAGAAAGACTTTGTTCAGTTTGCACGTTTTATGTTCAGATTCTTAACCCTAAATTTGCTCTTTGAAAATGTTTCTGAAAAAAGGTTGCATGCTGACTTATTGCCTTATACATCTACCTACTTGCCGTCCAATAGTAAATTGCTAAAGGAAATGGAAATTTTCACTAGCTAATTGCATCATAAAAAATCTAGCTGTTTAGTGTACACGAATCAATCCAACGTTGCGGTTCAGTGCCTTTGTTAATGTTTTGCTTCTGAAGATGTAAATACGTAAGTGTAAAACCAAAAAGGCCCGAAATACAGAGAAACACAACATTGGAAGTAAGGTTCGTAGAAACACAAGGGTGTAATTTCAGAGATTTTAGTCAAATATTTCATTTGCCCAGTCCCCTTAAAATTACACCCTACAGTACATTCACATGTTAGTAAAGTATCTCTTTGTTTAAGCTGATAGGGTGTTTCTTGCACGGTGCGTTACTGGCTTTGTGGGAGTGGGACCTAGGCTGTACATGTCCTGTGCACTTGCATGCAGAACATGCCTTTCCACTTCCAGACTGATATCAAATTTGAAAGGCAGAGTATCAGTAATTGTTGCTTGGTTTGCAGGCAGTGGAAATCAGAGAACAGCACTCTCTTATGCAGGGTCGTGTAAACTGCAAAATCCTTTTTGTACGGGCCGCACAGGCACCAGAGTGTGAAATGAATCGGACTTCAGCCATTCTCCAACCCACCGCTGATCCAAGCAAAAGCAGATGCCTCCTTGGGACATTGTTGGACAGAATATCTGAAGGAAATGTACAATGGAAAAGCTCCAAAGGCTATAATCTTTGAAAAATGTTTAGGAAACTATCCCGTACCATTTTAATGTATAACGTGTAAATGTCCTACCCTTGAAAATAACCAACATTAAACACAATCAATTGTAAACAATTTAAATAGCTGACACAAAGTTCCGACGATAAATTCATGGATTTCCTTTGATATAACCGGGCAATAAGGTGTTCTGAAAATCAGATTACATTTTACAGGCATCGTATACGGTTTACAATAAAAATGAATGCCAGATTGCATCAATTAAAACGTCAAACCACTAAAAGGGGCCGTTCCGTTTAAACGTTTGGGAAATCCGTAAACGAATTTGGAACTTTTCTCTGTGTTAATGACATTTGAAATGCGAGGTGTTTTTCATGTGCCTCTTGTGAGTGTTGAAAAGTTGAAAACGGCAGCATGAATTGGATCGTCCCAGTACACTTTGTCCAACTGCTTTTTTTTGTGGGCCAGTTTCATGCACTGTGTAAAGTACAGTAGATGAACGTGTTGGAGGTCCAAAAAGTTACATGCACATGTACATTGTAACAGCAAACAAGCAAAATCTTGAGAAACTGGATTCATATTTCAATAAAAAGTATTCCACTGTAAAAGTATCTGACCAACAGTGCTGGTAACTTGAATCTAACTTGAATTCTTATTAAATATTAAATACACACGTTATGTGTTTCATGTATGTTCTTGTACATGGACAAGTATTCAAAGGTTTGCATTAAGCTGCACTACCAGGACATCAAAATGCCACATGAGATTATCTCTACACTAAATTTATGTGTGCATTTGAGGTCCACCAATCAAAGCCAGTACATGATGTACCATACCCCCTTGTACATTCACCGATGTCATTAGCATTAGAAAAGACATTATGCAGACTGGGCCCATGACTCATCCATTCATAATATGCTGAGGCAGACAGTGTGACAGTCTAATGCTTAGGTAGGTCATGGGCATTATTGATTGATGGAGAGGCCAGGCAAATAGGGAATGGGCTCTTGACAGTGGTTCTTTTGTGTTGTTCATAATAGGCTTTACATGTACCTGGTACCTTGCAGGTGTTGATGGGAATTTTAGAGAGAATTGACACCACCAGGATAAATGTGTCATGTCCTCCTATTGTCAACCGAATTCTTGAAGCAAAGATAACGGTAAAAAAAAAATTTAAATGGGAGGAGGGGCTGAAACGTGCTTTGTAGCTTTGAATTGAAAGCGTGCCTTTGTATGTAATAATTTGCTTCAGAAAAGCCAAAAAATCTGTACACAAGTGACAGAGTCGTTTACCTCTGCAGCCTTTCTTATATACATGTAGGTACTTGTACATTTACATGTACATGTAAGTAGTGTATTTCCATACATGTACAAGTATATTGGGTTGCATCACGTAAAGTAATTCATGCATTGTAATGTACATGTATGTACATGTACATTGTACACATTACAGCACCTATATGTTACACACCCACAAAAAGGTTTTCAAGTCATTGTTTGTATAAGTACTCATAGTTTTGCCATTAGAAAATGAAGATCCCCTCTCAGTCCCTTAGTTGAACACCCTATTTGTTGTTACCGGTTATGGATTTCTCATGATGGTTAAAACTTTTGCATTGTCCATCAGTCATTGAGATATCCTTTAAAGTTACAACACAGGTACAATGTGTGGTCCCGTACACAGACCCAGTAACATTACTGACTTGAATTATAATTTACTAGTAATGGGAGCATGTACAGTGTGTGTGTACCTGTACACACTTTGTGTATCTACGGTATCTGACCCTTGGCCAAAATGGCCATCATCTGGCATCTGTACAAGTGACTGATGAGGTTAGGGTCAATGCCTTGGGGTCAGTATAATATCAGTACATAGATAAATACATTTAGGTGTCACATGTTAAGCTGCTTGTGTGCTTACATTCTTTGAGCATTTGGAGGTAAAGTTACAGGGAATGTGTACATGTATGTGCATGTACATAGGATTAACAGTGTACAATTAACAGTACAATTTCTGAAGCTTTGGAGGCATACATGTACCCTGACCTGTTTACAGGCATTGGTGATTTGAGGTCAGGGCAATGTGGCCCATTGTACATGTAGGTGTAATTTCAGATGCACTGGTACCTGTACATGTGCATGTAGATCACCAGTGTATCTGGCCTTGTTCACTGACCAGGGGTTCGAGGATTCAACTTCTTAGATGTTTTCAGCGTTTGTATTCAGATTTTACTCTGACTTTCAGCTACAAAATCCTGGGAACATTGTAAATTTCATTTACAGCCTCTTGCTAGCTGTTTTCATCTTTTTTGAATGTGGTCACCCATATCCCTGACTGACTTACCGTGGTTGCTCGCTGCCCGGTGACTGTGCCTTGTGCTCGTTATTCACATCATCTACGTATAACTACTGGCATTCTGCATAAAGAATCACCACTTTTATCTACGGTATGCCCTATCCAGATTACATCCAGGATCCCAACCCATCCTTGTTGTGCTTGGCCAAGAATGTCAGCGATGTCTCGGGCCGTGTCCACTCCCATCTGGATGTCGAGAGGGCGCCCTATGCCCCCAACATGGACTGCCTGCTCACCATCGACACCCAGCCCGGTCGACGCATCAACCTGCGCTTTGATTTCTTCGACTTAGCGCCGGGGTTTGATAGGGCCAGCAACAGGTGCCGATCCGATGCAGACAGGTGAGCGAGACTTGTAGTGTTTTCATCTTTGTTCTCAGCTTCATTTACACACCGGATACATGTGGCGCATGTAACAGTGATGGCATTTACCGACATGTCAGAAGGAGATAGATTGGTGGCATCCCACATCCTGGGTTATTGCACAGGTAATGTCTTGTGGATTCAGGAGTGTTCTTAACCACCTTGAGGGTTAACATTGAAGGGCCCTATGAAAGGCTCAGACGCCCTCATTGCATGCCTGGTTAACTTTGAAGTGAGTAGTATTAAGATGTCTCTCTTTGAGTGTTGGAAGGACACGGTACGTTTTTCAGTGACACTTTTATATATGTACCCCGGTATGTGTATGCAGTTTGCACTTAATGTACCAGAAAAAGGTGTCTCTGGGTTTGTTTGTGGGAACTGGTTACTTTCAGCTGTGGTTGGGGCTGTGGCGGTAAACCCATGCTAATACATGTATACTCGTTGGACTATCCGTAGCCTTACTTGTTGCGTAATGCACACTGAGCAGTGATTAATTTGAAAGTTTGGCACATTGGGCAAGTGCGGTACATTCCACTGACCTGTGTTTAATCCGTTGTTTTTCCTGTCAGGTTCATGGTGTACGAGTCTGACAAGGACTTTGTCATCAAGAATGACATTCTCCAGCCCGAGGTGATCTACTGTGGCGGCACCGGTAAATTCCCCAAGGATTACCAATCCTACGGCAACATCGTCACCATCCGGTTTGTGACGGACGGCCTTAGCTCGCCGGATACAGGCGTCAAGTTGGTGTACACATCCTACAAGCCCCCACAAGGTAGGAAAGTTGGACGCTTCATTCAATGCTGACGGTGCAAAGGTTGTAAGTGTGTAAATTGTACTGTGCACGTTTGACAGTGTCTGAAGGATATTTGGTGAAATGTTCAGTGTTGCTGCGTAGTCTGCCAAGAATGAGAAGACTTTTGGCAAGTTGGATCATGGACCACTAGTTCACTAGTGGTTGGTTCGTGACGTACCTAGCGCATGTGCAGTGAAGTTCAAGTGCGAACGACCCTAGTCAACCGTTGTCAGGTCGTTAGGCCGAAGGGGAGAAAAGGTGGTTGGAGGAAGGGCACAGTAGCAAAAATTACGGTGAAAATGATCATTTACTAGTGGCATACTGTTTTTCCGGTATTTTTCTTTCGACGGGTCCTCTCTGCACTGTGCTATTAAAAACAGTTTATGGCAACTAATGGTGAGACCAACCTCTGTAGGCTGCTCGCGAATAGTTGACTAGACTAGTCCAACCATCGTCGACTAGCATGCTTTTGATCAGAGTTAGTCGAACTATGGTAAACTATGGTCCTTGATCTAACCTGCCCTTTAATGTCGCTACGATTCAGGAATTTTCGATTTGGATTTCATCCTGTTTCCTTGCTTCAGCAGTGGGCATTTTGAGACAGCAATAGGTTTCACCTGAGCAGGTCCAATGCACGTGTGCACTGATAAGCCACTTTTTATTTTCCAGGATGCCTGTGGCAAATGGAGGTTAGGGAATGCTTGAAAGCCTAGAACATTCCTGTTCCCAGCGCCATTACAAAACTCGCTCGAGTTCCCCCTTTGAGAATTCACCACATTCCTAAGAGTAACTTGCCGTGTGAAGCGTGCAAAGGCGATGACCAGTGTTCCTTATCAGAGGCAGACGTTCCCAGGAAATACAGCAGGCGCTCACTCTAAGGTTTAGCAGTGTTATTGTTTCAACATACCAAAGTGTTTCAACTCTTGAGATGCTTGCCACGTTATCTCCGACACAGAGAGCAGCACAGACCGCAGCTCCACTGGGCACTGCGCGTACACATTTCTAGGTGCTGCTCCGTCTCTGTGCCAGAGGGCCAGAGCTACACGTACATGTGCAACCCCACCCGTTGATGTCTCTGTATCATTATTATCCTTTCTGGGTTCTGTAGAGGGATCCGCCGACTGTTTCCGATGCGTGGACAACTCCATGTGCATCGACGAGGAGCTGACGTGCAACGACGTGCCAAATTGCAATGACGACAGCGATGAAGCCTATGCATTGTGTCGTGAGGGTAAGTCCCCGGGAAGCACCTACCCGGACTCTTTGGATTGATTTTTTCTTCAGTAATAGACATCATTGTCATTTGTGTTACTTTTGTGTTTGCCTTCATTACATTAACGGAAGCAAGAAAATGGAGCAAGTGTACTCTTCTCAAGTTTTTACCCACTGTTTGATTTAACTTGGTAAATACTACAAGTAACGATGATAAACTCATGAAGAAATGAGGAAATAAATGTTGGTGGGGGGGGAACCTTCAAATCATCATTCATTCAGAAATTTTGAGGGAGGTGGTTGTGTAACCATGCGGAAGTTCGTGCTCGAAAAGCGACTCATGTAACATTGTTGCATGACACAAAAAGCACTCTGAATTTCTCCACCACGCAAAGGGCTTCTTGGAGAGCATCATATCAATCAAACTGTAAGCTGTGATAAGCCTAAGAAACTTAACAGTCATCTCTGATTGTTGAGGAAAAATAACGTCGAGTTTCAAAGATATTAAACCCGAACAGTCTTGAGTTTCAATATGATAGTAGATAGTCCCTAGGGAGTTAGGTTTAGAGATGCACCTTCATTGTCGTGATGTTGTGAGTGATGCATTCAGTTCTTGTTTTCTGAAAAATCTCCTCGTTTATTTATCTGAGGTATTTGACTTTGACAGTTGTACTGTGTCCAGAAGCAGGGGTTTTTTTAGAGTGAAACATGACATCATTGAAGGGCAGGGTCAAGCCCGTAATCACACTAATTAAAAAGTTTCAATCACATGCTGGATTGGTAAAGCGATTGCTTTCTTTGGTTAGTCTGACACAATCAGTCGTAACCGATTTGTTGTATTTCCAGACCCGAGTAACTTCTGGGAGATCGGGATCGAAAAGTTGGGCGTGGGCGTGGTGGCCACCATCTGTGCGGCAATTGGCCTGCTCATCCTCATCATCTTCATCACCTGCATCGTCTGCTGTTGCTACTACAAGAAGGGGGAGGACGACCAGAAGCAGTATCGCACGCCCCCCACCCCGAGGCCGGGGTCTTATCCCTCCCACAACTCCAATTACTCCTCCTACTCCTCCTCGGCCTCCACCACCAACGGCGGCATGCACCCCATGCCGGGCCTGCACGGCCGGATGTACGAGGGCCTGCACGGGATGAACGGAGGCGGAAGCATCAACGGCAGCATCACCGGCATGAACGGGCTGGGCTCCCTCCCGGACAGCCACCGCCACCATCACCACCACCACCACGGCCCCTCCCAGCCGTGTCACCCATACCCCCACCAGTACAGCATGAATGGGCTCAACAGGTCCCCCTACCCCAACTACCCACCCACTTACCCCTCCCTGCCCAGTGGGGGGTCTCTGCAGAATGGCGGGTACAGCGTCGCCTACAATCACGACAATGGGCGGATGGAGTTTCCCCACAAAGTCTAAGCCAGTCCTTTCAAGTGAACTTGTCTCACACACGACTAATTATTGAGGGATCAAGTGTGTACACCGCGACAGTAGGAAACTTGACAGGGTATTTATTGAAAGTAAATGTATTAGCCACTTTTGTTCTTTCCAATGGTACATGTACACCTCAGTAAGAATTGTAATCTTGAGAGAACTTTGTCCGGTATTCACGGTAAGCAGCTTAATGTGTAAAACCTTCCTGTCACAGCGGGGTGCCTATGAGTAATCCTTGTAGGCAAGTTTTAATGTCTTTATGTAACAGCCATCCCTGCCACCCCTACACAGTCAGTGGCCACAGTGGACCTCCTCGACTGGTTTAACCGGCGAATTGGTTTCAGAGGGCGAATGGCCCCATGCATCACGTGTGTACTGTTTTGTTGCTCGACGGACGCTGGCCACTGCTGGAATTACAGCCAAGATCAAGGGGCCTAGAATATGGCCGAAAGTATTCTGAGCACTGACTGTATGCATCTGTGGTCGGTACTTAAATGGTAGTTACTAACCACCAGGTTTTGCATTTCAGCGAGTCGGGGAGTCTCAGTTTCAAGGTATGTTACGCACTGGATGTCTCATTTGCACTTAGGTTCCAAGGAAGTCTTCAAGCTGTTGACAGTGGCCGTATTGGAGAGTGGGCCCGATTGGACTCGTTGCCCGATTGCCAATTTTCTTATTTTCATGTTTGCGCATTGTAAAGTGTACATTATATCTGTCGGGTAGGCATAGCGATTGTATTAACCGATACTCTTTAATGATCACAACTTTTTTTTTTACCTCTGAAAAACAAAAGATATTTCCTGTCATCGCTCAGCCATGTCACTTCTGAATTGCATGTCGAATTCAAGTGAAAATGAATGACTTTGCTACTCCTCTGAAATAGGTTGACTCGGTGAAAAACTTTGTTAATGGGAATACGTGCAGCGAATTCTGTCTCGATACAAGTGTCACGTTGGACTGATGTACACCTACCTGTATTATGCTCGCTCTGTGCCAATCAAAGTTTATTCCTTTCTCTGCCCACAATTGGAAAAGAGACCTTTCTCCACACGTTTTCCCATTTGGTACGGGTAAAGTAATTATGTAACAACCCTTAGTTGGTACTGATGAGTAAAAAAAACAAATTGACATTGAGGTAATTTGGAAAATGTGTAGAAGTAATTAACTGCATACCAAAGTGAATTTACTTTGTTAATATAGTGCTAGGATACTCCTGTTACTCATCGCTGTATTTATAATCTGTTCACCGTACGCTTTTCTACATGTGCTTTTGCATCTCGTATCTTAGATATTGCTGTGATTTATCAATTTGCGCTCTTCGTTTTGATACACGCAGGCGATTGTTTTATAACTGTTTATCACTTCATAGAATTTTGAAGTATTTCGTGTATTACCCTTTCTGCCTGTTGCTCGTGTGCTCCGGCACACTTTTGTCGAAGTCTGTGTCGAGTTGTACTTAGCTAATGGGCCTGAGCTGATGTGGCATTGCATAGTTCATCTGCTAGTCGTCACGTGCACAAACAGTTGAGGGCGCTCTTGTTATATTCGCTGAGAGGATAAGTAGCACTTTTAGGATTGACACGTCATCCAGTGGCATGTGTCAGAAGATTCTGCTAACCAGGGAGACCTTGTCAACTCGATGACTGTTGAAGTATATTTATGTAAAGTTAGTATTACATGTATTTGTTGGGCACACTTTCCACTGGGCATCTTTCGTAAGAGAGAGGTCGTTGCTAGCCAGGCTTTTTCTAGTTCGTAGAAACAACATGCCAAATGAGTTGGCAACCATATGTGTATGCATCATTGCATGTAACTGATGCGTGTACGTTTTAGAGACTAGATACCATGTGTTGATTGATAGATGTACATCGATAGTTTATCTTTTCGTTCGCTCACTTTCTGGAGGCACAGCACTTTTTTTTACCGCAACACAGTCACTGCACATACGCATAAGTGTCTATACTCTACTTAAGAATGTGTTTTGAACTTGATCTGTTCCTTTGGATACTCTTGTTGGACTTTGAGGAAATATTGTCCAAATACCACCCGTTACAGTTATGATTCTGAGATCATAACTCTTATGTAACTCCAAGATAGCAAGTTTGGTGAGTAGTTCTGTTTATAGAGTAATGCCGAACAGAATAGTTGTAGCTGAAGGTCACGGTCGGAAATGTCTAGCTTCCCTACATGTTACCTCTGTCAGAAGTTGCAGAAGTAAGCCTTTACCGACAAAATAGTGAAGCAGTTTTATCGCTCGTTACTTTTGTATTCATTTATATTTTATTGTACAGTAACGTTTTAAGATACCATTTGTTTGATAGCCTCAGTTGTATTCATGTCTTTTTTTTGTCATTTTGAAAGACAGAAGTAAAAGTAAAGTTTAAAAGTACTGGATTTTTTAAAAGTAGAGTCAACAGTTTACGTAATAAGTATCAGTAAATTAGTCGAATAACCACGGAGAAAGTTGAATGTCAATAACCAGCAATTTGTTTTCGACAGTATTTTTCATATCCTCGGGTTTAGATTCACTTGTTACCTTTACAGTTCACCAAATTGTAACTGCAATTCCATTTCGGACCAGTGTAACTTTATTCCTGCCGTGGAATGACAGGCTCGTTGATTTGAAACCACATTTTCAATATACGCGTAGAGTGACTCCAAGCCAGCTCTCGAGGATTGTTTGTAACCGCACTGTACATAATGTGTAGAGTGTCAGTATGTTAGTGTTTTGTGAAGGATACTCGGCAAGTCATCGCAGAGATTTTGCGTCGACAATTGAACCTTAACTTTCAGAGTTCAACATTGCCAAGATCTTGTTGATTTTAGCTCTGAGAATTCGAATCGTGTAGGCTTTACTTAATGCTGTCTGTGGATTTGTTGAATGCAAGGCCACGGCATTTTGAAGATCACATATGTATGCAATCAGGCCGGCCCGAAGTCATGCCATCCGGTAATAAACATCGCAAGTATGCCATCGTGGCCTTAGGGGCAGACCAAAATCGTACATCCAATCCTTTTTATACGATTTTGAAGCAATTCAGCAAATCATTATCGTGATACTGGAAAGCAGTAATAACGTTCATTAAGTCATAAGATTTGTGCTATTAAATAAAACGCGCACTGGCATGTACATGTAAGCGACGCAGCGTGAACAAAATATGATCGAATGTAGACTAAATACCGAGTAGCTGTACCATACCCGCGCATATTACAGAAAACTGAAGATGTTTCACCAAGATTCGAAGCTCTGTTCTTGACTGGTCCCCACCACTCTCACTAGTGGTCTTCCTCTGCATGTGTAATACATGTGCATGTACTACAATGTACAAGGGCATGCAATTGTACAGGGGGACCGTTACATTTTCTGCCGTTTCTTGGTCTTATGTAGCATTTTCAAACGATATCTATAGGAAGTTGTAAGTAATGCATCGGCGTGTCGTAACTGTAATCAAGTGCTGTATAAACATGACATTTTTTTGTGAAACTGTGATGCACTCAATAAAATGGTCCACCAGAGTCGAAATATTCTGAGTGATTTATTTATTCATCATCAATTTTGTTGGTTGTAAACATGCATCGCCCAACCAGCGATTTATGATATGCGTTCTAGGGCTGTGCCGAATAACGAATATTCAATCGATTGTCGGATATTAAAATATTATTTTTGAGTTTGAATATTCGAATGCAAATTCATGAAAAGTAAGCGAAATTTTTCTTTTGTTTTAAATGAGAAACATTGCACCATGGAGGCTTGTTTCAAGCAGATTCAAATGAAAAGCGTCAAAAATCTTACGATTTTAAAAGTAAATTACTTATTAAACAATTTAAAAGGAATAGAAATTTTCGACAGGGCTGTGTGTCTTGTTCATCTCTTAAATCTTGCTAAATCGTGGCTGGAGATATTCCTAGTTGTGAGGAGCTATGTTGTTGATCATAATGTACAAAATAATGTGTGTGTTATTTCAACTATTTTTGTATATAGTTTGTTCAACGATATGCCGGTCGGTATGACCGAATATTCGGATATTCGACCGAATTGAAGGTCGAATATTCGAATAGTGAACTAGTCGAATTGACTCAGCCATAATGCGTTCCTGGATTAAAATGGGGGGGGGGTATTTATATAACCTTTTATGGCCTTTCTGAGACTTGAGGCTACATTTTGGGGCTCTATTCATGCTTTTAGAAGGAAGGCCCGGGAAATGAAATTCATTCGTTTAAAAAAAGGGGGGGGGGGAAATTACCCCCTCGAGGAATTTTTAAACAACTTTCTTTTACATGGTATTATCTCCCTGATCACAGGTCATAAACTACAGGGGACGCCACTTGTGGGAAATTCAGGCTGGTGACCAGATTGTTGGACCGAAGTCAACCAAAAAGGCCGGGGTCACCGTATAAAGTCAGTCCATGGGTTTGTAGCTCTATGGTCCATCAAAATAAAACCTAGGAAACGCTCTACGAAGTCCGAACAAACACCTGTTTCTCTTAATGCCTTGACGTGTATGCCGTATCCTCGGCATATTCTATAGGTTTTGCCTCTGTGGCCTGCAATCAACACCGCTTTGTTTAATTCAAACTATAACTCACTGAACAGAGGTATTTTTTTTTGGCCCAACAAGAGCAACATCAGACTCCTCAATACGTGTTTTGTCTTGTGCTTTGCTCAGAATTTAGAAAAGGCCGAAACAAGAGCTTGCATTAATTGTGTGAAACTTTGACCAAGCGACACGTTGATCACAAACATTAGACAGTGTGCTCCAATGTACGGAAGCTTAGAAGGCCCACAGAATAATTTTGACGACAAAATTAGGAAAAAAAGTTGTGCTCCCTCCTTCAGTAGGACCGTCAAATTGGATTCAAGATTAGATTCAAGACACGTCAATGCGCCAAGAGGACCAGCAAGTCACCCCCACTCCCTTAGCAATGCAGTTTTCAACCGGGAAAGAAAATTTGAGAAGTGACTCAGGGAATAGTACACGTGGGCTTTAATACGACAGTGGGTGGCTGGCCAGGCGGATAGGCCGTGGAAAAAGGTGTTCCCCCGTCCCCAGAATTAACTGATCACCCAGACCAGACCGTGTAGAAGAGCAATGAAGTGCCGACACAATTGCGGGCCCACAAGACGAACACGCGTCCCGTATAGTACGGCCTTGCATCTCTTCTCCCCATTACAAGTCGAAGAAGTCAACAGCTGAAATCCGCTAGGTAAATATAACTTTTCCCGCTTACCGAAGGACAATATAATAATGCTAAATATACGAGGTATCCCGAGGTCAGGTTTCGTCATTCTCGCTGGGTACTCGAAGCACTATTGCGCTTTTGTTGAAGTTCGGTGCTCGGAAGTTTCCTCAAAAGTCAGGGAAAGCAAACAAACGTCATAAGGCGATTCAACTTGATTTTTTCAAGCATGATTCACGATGTTATGCCCATGATTGCATCAAGGCCTGCTCAGCCGGACAATAATCATTTTAACTGCTCAATCCGGATTGGATCCGAATCCCAATATTTCGCCCTCCTTCCTTGGTTTTGTGCCCACGACAAAATTGTGCGTAATCACAATAGGATCAGAGCTATATCTGTTCCCAGAAAGCCCAGAAAACAATTGTCCCCGTGCCTGACCGAGTCGACATTACCTGGAATTTTTCCATCGATGGTTACATTTTCCCATCCTTAAAATATTGTGCTTTGAAAATTTCTTGTTTTGAAAATGTCAGTCTGCAAAAGGTAAACAACTGATTTTTTAAACAATGTGTAAATCGAAAGGTCAGTCACAATTTATTCTATGTCTGCAAAATTGACGGACGGTAACACTTTAAGGAGCACCTTTATATAAACATTATTACATTATGTTACATCCTGGGTTTTATAATGTATTCATAACCCAAATTCTGTTAGCTGTATTAGTCTACATTGCTGTCTTTGAAGAAGAGAATTGTGATGGTGTGGGTTGGTTTTAGGAGGTTTGGGGTTGGTTTGGTTGTTTTGTGGAGGAGTGTATGCTTTCTTTCACATTGCATGTGTGTATGTCAGTACGTTAGTTTGTACGCATGTATTTCATTAAGTGTTCTTTTTGGCTTTGTGTGTCATTTTGATCATTCAATTGTTTGATAAAATTTTGGTATTTTATTAATCAATTTTATGTAAACTTTTTAGTTGATTTGTATACCTGTGTTTTTTTTTTACTGCTTTCTGTTTTTATTTACAGTTCCTTGTAAATCTTATTGTTTTTATGTAATAGGCCTAATTGTAAATCAAACTGAAATTCATCCTTTGGATGCGAAAGTTTGGTTATTAAACCCCAGATAGCAATCATAATTATCATTTGGAGATGCTGTTTAAAACACTATAACAGACTTTATCCCAACAAAGATCACGCCATAAAAATCCCTAAATTTGAGCTGTACACTGCAGACCATGTGTACGAGGACAAAAAGGCGCCTGTACTTGCTTGGGTGATAACGGGTTTAAGGGTCGGTGGAGCTTTCGTTTATTGTTGGAACCATAATGTACTGGCCGATGACCAGCCGTCACTGACCTTGTGGGATTTGCACCCACCCTAAACTTTGATAAACACCCTCCCCGAAATTGCTCGAAATTTATTATAATCCTCCCGGACCACGGGCCGGCCTGGTCCGAAGGCGGACAAAGGCTTGAGCCAGTGGCCTTGCCGTTTCCACCTCTTCGTTGAGTGCGTCCTCTATGCCCGGTGATTTTGACCTCGACTGTTTCCTTTATAAGTCCCCAACCCGCCGCCTTTTCTCCATAACTTCTTTGCAATCAGATTAATTGAAATCAATGATTTGCTGAACCATGCGTTTCACATTCGTGCGATGGTGTGCGATTCTGGTGTCGATTGACACGGCACAGATATGGGTAGTTGAAGCGGCCTCCGTACTAGGTAAGTCCCGTCTGTCTGTTCCACAGTAATTCAGCACCCTGTGCACAATCTGGCGCTAGCTAACCTTACATACCCAGTGTGGACTGGTGAACAAAAGATGTCCACACGATGCAGGAAAGGAAGACGTTCTGTGGACTTACCCATGTCTGCAGGACGTTTTCTCTTCTCTGAAAAAGATGTTTAAAGGCATTTTGGGGTAGGGGTCATCCGTCGTAAAAGAAAGAGGAATAGTCAAGGAAACCTTGTACAAAAAGCCAGCTGAAAATTGTGTTCTCAGTTCAAGAAAAAGAGTATTTTAACTGATTTTTCTTACCTGCACAAAAAGAAAGGAATGTCCACCGTGTGTAAGGTAAGTGGGTGTGTTCGAACAGTGCGATTTAACTGCTGTTCCTGTCTGCCACGGTGAGCAAAAGCTACTGGCCCAAGATTTGGTTTTGAAGTATAGTGGCGATTATCACACAAGTGACGATGGCGGCGATTAAGAACGGGCTTTGAAGACGACAACCAACGATGATGCAGATGACGCTGACGGTAGAGATGCAACCCGTAAGGATGTGAATGGAGGGATACGTAACAAATTAATTCGGTGAGGTGAAGTGCAAACGAAAATAATGACTGGGACAAATTTAACTCACGAATGAAAATAATTGTGACAGTAGTGACGATAATATACAAAGTGGTTTCAACCTTTTGTGAGCAATTACAAAAAAATGTCTATCGATCTTAGATGAAACATGCTTCCGATGTGACGAGATTGCACCATGCCTCGAGCCACAGTACATATGCAACTCAGTGCCAGAATGTGCCAACGGTCGAGATGAGCAGACGACCGAAGGAGGCGGATGCTACACCGCAACAGACGGTAAGCATGGAATTCCCTCTGAATCGGGAATGGAGCTGAGATGATGAGCTATATAAACTATTATGTAATGCTTTTACTGCTCCGTGATCGGACCGCTCAAGTTGAAGCAAGGCACACCAACATCATTATCGCCTGACTGTGCGTCTGGCGGCACAAATTGGATCAATAGCGAACATGCAGTTCAACGAACAAACATTAAACCCCTCAGTATATGTGTAGAAATAATTAGGCGCACTTTCCTCGGAGGGTAACTGTTATTCTTCAATAACCCTTTGCCGTGATTTGTTCTTCCTTTGAGAAATTTTGATACGTACTTTTTGGTATGTGACAAGGAAGAACACAGAATATGCACGACAAGAAATCAAGCAGTGCGCTCGTATATTTTCCACGTATCCATAGCGTTGGAGTACGAACTTCCAATTCATGATGTAGCCGGTAGTGTTAGTATTTTTGGTGAGCGTGGTAAAAACTGACTTGATTTAAATTGCCAGACAAAACAGGGGGAAATTCCTGTAGTCGTTTTTTTTTCGATGCAGATGCAGAGTCTTTTTTTTCGATTGCAGATTCAAAGTCTAAAGACAGCCACCTCTCCCCTCTCATCTACGCCCTAGCTGGTTTCATCACCTTAGAAACGCTTGCTATTCTTGCGACGGTCATGTATCTCCTGAAAGTTCGTTGCTGTCAGTTCGAGTGTAAACGGGAGTCCAGGGAAAAACCTGAGTGCATTCGGTCGACTCGGAGCAATGGTCCCGTCAAACCCAGCCGCAGTCAACGTCACGCGGGCAGGGAGCCACATTTCTACACAAAGCCCCGGGACGCTGTTCGCCCTGCACGTCCCCTGTCTGAACTGCCCATCCTCGGCATAAATGGCCGACCAGTCTTTGAGTCCATTGGGCCCCCAACTGTCCAGACAGCTCTTCGGGGTCACCGTTGCGACAGTATGAACAAGTTACGGCCGGATAGTGACCGACCGATTATCGACAGCCCATCCCGACTGCCCTTTCAAAGTTCTGGGCCGATGGACATCCCGCCCATAAAGACAGTCACGGGGAGGTCGACGGATGAACATAACTTGAAGAAAGGTCAACTTTGCCGCGAAATCGACGGGAAGATGCCGCCCCAGACTATCTCTGCTATCTCGGGTTATTGCAACAGAAGTTCATCGGGGTCGGAACACCGACCCGTTGTGCATCATCACCACACCACGGTGAACCATCTAACTTTGATAGTTCCCGGGCAAACCGAAGCGCCGGGACGTTTGCTGGGGGCAGCCGCGGCACGCACGGCCACGATAACTGAAATAACAGACGACCAACCCTGGACGTCTGACGGACGCACCGCGTCGGGATCAGGCAGACAGTTAGTGCCAATGCACCGCTCACGCAAGGGAAACAGCATGTACGACGTTGGGAATTTGTATTAGAAAAAGATGCAGCAAGAAAGAAACTTCCGAAAGTAAGGTACTGGGTATTAAAAATAAAATGCATGGTGTCTGAAATAACAGATCATGGAGTGCGTAGAGGACAAAATTAAACTCATAAAGTCAGACCAAGTTGCTTTGTGACGAGACATAACGAGCCACACGTCTAAAAGTCCATTTCATTTCTTTATATGTATTTGTATTTAAGCAATGCCAGTTCACTGTTTAATATTTCATTTAGGACTATTAGATAAATAAGAATCGTTTGGTATAAATGGTTTTGCCCGTAAATTTATTATACTGTTCTGTTTGTGAATTATTTTTAGTTTTTCATGATGCAAAATTCCCTACTCATACATTAACCACAGGCGAGAAAACTCCTGTCACAACCTTTAAGTAGAAGGTTGGCTTAAAGCGCATCTGCCTTAATTTTGTTGGTAACGATGCGATCGTAAGGCATGTGTTTCATAGTCGATTGTGAATCAACGAAGTGCAGTTCCTACCAAAGGAGTCTGCGTTGTTGGGAAAATTGCGCCCTCTCTTAGACCAGCTTGGGGCTCATAGGTAGGGCTAAAACTGGAGCTGTAGTGAATCATGGAATAATTTCCTTTCTAATCAACCATTTTTTAAAATCTAAATTGACAAATTAAAATTCTGTCGATCGGTGCTACCGTATAATAGAGAGTCTTTTGTCAATACACCAATCGAGTTGAAATGGTTCCCTCCATTTGTATCCGTAAGCAATTTTTAACATTTTGTGTCAGACGCATGTTAATTGGTGAGTGGTTATTAAAACACACCGTATGTTCCCAAAGATGTTGCAGTAGTGATACAAAATTCAACAGTTTTGCTTTTGACCCAACATTAAATATTATATCTTGACTAAGACATTTATTTTGTTATTTGCCAAAAAAATCGGAGGGGGAAACTGAAAGCTCACCCTCAATGCAGTTTTTTCCTTCCGAATTCCCTCCACTTGTCTACTCGTAAAACTGCAACATTTGGTGGTAAAAGACGCTCGCTTATTAGGAGTCTGGTAGTTTCTGCTTTCGGAAGGAAGTTGAAATCTGTCGACCCAATGCACGTTTGGAAAGGGTCGACAGGTTTGGCGCACTGTAATTGGTCAACGCGTTGCAAACTCTTGGAGGCGCACTATTGTGAATCGCCCGATGACATCACTGCATTATTTGCAATGGCCCCCTTTGATGGCAGTAAACAGTGTGACAGCTATTGTATAGATTACTGTTCCGTAACAGTCGCTCTGTACAAAACCAAACACATGCCAAGGGCCATCAGGATTATCCAGTGAAACGTCACTAAAATGGGTGCATCGGTGAGAGGTAAGGGTTGACTGAGCTATTTCAAGCCATTAAAAACAGTGTAATATCAACAAAGTTCACAGCTCCTGTGCGGGCAACCGAAGTCCCTTGGACCTCTCAAACAAAAAACAAAGTGTTGTTTGGTCTTTCATATTTTATTGGATTTCCAAATTCTAGTAGGTTAACCAATTAAATTTCTGATATCCGCCCAAAACAGACTCACCCCCAACCATTTCTCAAGTGACACCCCTCCACTTTCGCGGGCTCTTTCGACAATTTCAGTACCATTTTGCTCTGTTTTGCCTCTGGTATGGGAACCCCTTTAATCTAGAAAGTTGATCCTCTGTCATATCTACATAATCCTACAATTTTTAGGCCACAGAAACTCCTCTTTTGGAAAAAAATTGTAGATACTTTTTGAGCGCCTGCGCCTGGCGAAGAAATACGCCCGAAAAGGAGACTCAATCAGCGCCCTCAAGCGGTTACCCAACGAAAGGATTACTTCAAGTATTTAAATTAGTTGGTGGCGCGCTTTGGCACGCCAGTTAATTTATTTTACTTGCAAAGAAACTAGCGTCTGCATATACTGCAGTACTTTTTTATCATGCTTGTCGTTGACCGGCTTTTGTCTTTCTTGGTTTCTTTTTTACCATTTTGTTCCTGTAGTACCGGTGGTAAGTTTGCATTGCCTCTGATTCTGTTCTGAACTTTGTTCTCATTATTTCTTTACGTTAATTACGCTATTAAACGTATCATTGAAAGTGGCATTAACATGATGAACGTCCCACGTCGTCTACAAAACGTTATACGCCCAGAACTGCAGCTGTGGGGTCCAACGTCGTCATGATCATGCGTGTCATCATAGCCGGTGTCTTGCCCAAAACTGTTCGGGCGGTGGAAAGAATTTTGGTTTCTCCTTGCCTCTCCTTTTTTCACCATCTCTCAATCATCTTGTTAAAGGTCAATCATTGCAGGAATGCTCAAAACAAAAGACATGATGATCTGGGACTGAGAATTTTTTTTCTAATTTCACTGGGAAATAGGATATCAGAAAAAATGTTGCATCCTGACTCCACTTTTCTCATCATATATCATCTCAGTAAAAGTCAGTCATTACAGAAATGCTGGAAAGACACAAACTCTAGACTGAGAAACATTTACCGATGTTAATGTTGGGAAATACATGTACGCAGAAAATTCTTTTCACTCCCCGTAGACTTTGCACACAACTGCTGAAGTGGAGTCAGGATGCAATAATTTTTCCAAAAAGGAAAAATCAACTTGAAATTGGGGGACGAGCTAAAATGAGTAGGTCCTGATACTTGCAGAATACCCCACCATCCCGCACGATCAACCTCATAGCCAGGTACAGGTCAAAGTGTCACTCCCTTCTCAAGGGATTTTTACCTTGTACCCACGTAACCAGTCTTTCGAGGGTCATTTTTTTTTTTTTTTTTAGAGTTGCGGGGTATTCTACAATTATTCCATTTTTTTCTTGACTCCCCATAGACTGTGTTAATATTTGTACACAATGCTTACATGTAAGCTGACGTGGAGTCAGGATGCAACATTCTTTCCATCCAGATGTCAAAAAGATCACACCAAACTGCAAAAATGCCAAATACATGTATCTGCCGACACTCTGCCCAACTGCACTATGACACTAGTTTGTACTGGACTTGCGCGCCGTGTTTTTAAATTAATATTACACTAATGTCTTGGGGTATATACACCGTGTTCGTTCCTGTTGAAAAATAGTAAAATTATTGCCAGTCTTAAGAGGAGACGAGTGTTCAGTCTCCACCCTTTGTGAAAGTTTACCCTGTCAAAATGTTGGACTTGACTTCCTTCCCAAATGAAATTCCTCCAGAATCAAGATTTTACGCTTTAATTAAGTCAATTTCCCCACCCTGTTGTGTAAAAAAACATTTTGCTGTCGGGTGTGTACTGCACATGCTCATCAGATAATCTGTCGCTTTTGACAGTTTTTGGAGATTCATCACACACTTCCCATTTTGTGTAACAGAGCGTGCGTCCCCATAAATACAGTAAATAGTTCCAAATAGGGGTAGGCTGGCACCCAAGCTAGCCAAGGGGTGAAACCTCTTAGGGGGCACCCATCAAGGGTGCGCCATTATTTTCCAGGGGGCACAAAAAGCAAAATGAAATGTGGCCCAATACGTTATGCACATCTCAAAATTTCAAGGGGAGGGGGCATTCCGGGGGGGGATTGGAGCAAGTGCCCACATACCCCCCGTGCACGTCTGATGTCAACTGAAACAGCCATTGGACCCAATTATGCAATCTGACTAACCAACTTGATACATTAAGTTTACAATTTGTGAAGATATTTTTGGTATGTACATGTATGTACAGTAGATCTTATCAAATTACCGGTATCTACAATGTTACAATAAAACCTTTAGAAGCAGACCCCTTCGCTTGTTTAAGCTCCTTAGATCAGTATATTGGAAGATCTAGCATTGATGGTGGAGGGAGGGGACGAAATGGCAGTGAAACCTAAATACATGCCCAGGGGGAGCAAATACAGTGTGTAAAGGGATTACATGGCTGCCATCTTGCTGGTCAGTGCTTTTGTTCCACAATGTATGCACAGAGGAGGTTTCCCTATGGAACAAAGGAATTGCCCTGCAAGATGGCTACCCATGCAAAGCCTCTGTCAAGTCATCTCGATGAAATTGCAAAAGTAACCAGCTGAAGGTGGAAGAATGAGAAAAAAGACAAGACATTCCTTTAAAAACATAAGGAAAAATATAAGTATGCCGGCTGTGGCCCTCCCATCTGCTTAACTGCCACAGATCTAGTGTCAACTGTGAGAATGCTTCCACTTTGTACAAATCAATGAAGCATGTACATACAAAATTGCAAGCAACCAACACGCATGTGGTATGTAATGACATTTCTTGAGGAAATGAAAGGAGTACGCGGTATATATCCTTGCTCTTGTGCTATTTTGTGCATTGATTTTAATCAGCCGTGCAGTTCAGAGCCAGCACAACACCCCTCAGAACCATTTGAGGACAAATGGGTCGAATGCTCAATGCTCAGTGATTTCCAAATCAAAAATGGAAACAAGACTAACAAGATTCTCTACAGAGCCTGCAGTCTTTTTTCGTCCTAATGGTGTTACATGTACTTTGCTTTTGCAGTAACCATGGACGCACTGACTGCCAACAGAATGCTGCCAAAGTGAGGCGTCCTTTGGGTCAGTTAATCTCCTATAGGGACAGTGAGGTGAAGCATGGTGAAGCAGCTCGCAAAGTAAACGCCCATTGTATCTGGTGTATACAGGGGGCTATTTGTAAGCCTGGCTTTACCACACTGTGGGCAGGCCAGTTGGTAAACACAGCACAGCAGTTCAACTTACATGTAACTCATCATCATCGGGAGGGTTTAATTGCAGGCCCACTGCCATAAGCTAGGCTGCCAACGTTTGCATAAGTAAAAAGTGCATTGTAAAATCACTTCCAGCTCTTCCAGTCTCCACCACATTTGGGCTTTTCTCCGAGGGCTCGTCCAGAGACAGCTCAAAGACAGAATGGCATACACGGTAGGTTGTTCCGTAAAATTAATCTCTTCACGTTTTGCTAACTCACTGTGGCCAAGTGGACTCTTCAAAGGCATCATTTACAGATTACATGTACAATGCCTGAACAGACATTAGCACCTTTACGCGTGTGCGAATGAAATTCCGGCTCTTACCTACAGGTGAATACATGAATCGATATATCGACTGATCATTTTAGTTATCTGAGCCAAACATCATGTTCCTCATCGTTTGGGGAATAGAACTCAAATCTGACCTTTGAATTATTCATAAGATGTTAAGTAATGCTCTCCTCCGTTCACTGCCACATACATGAACATTCGCAGTTTACAGACATTCACGTTTAGACTAACCGCCGTCAACTCTTGTTGATTTGTTAATGAAGTCCTACATATGTTTGTATAGGGACCAGACAAATAGTCTTATTATCAGGATTTTGTTGTTAAAGGAACAAAGAAAATTCAGGAATTCAAGAAATTGGAATTCTCAGAATTTCGTCTTTATAACAGTGTTTTTGTTATGAGTGCTCTTTATTTAGTGATTTTCAACTGTATTTTGTACATAAATAGAGTATTTCCTATTTATGTAACTGTCACTTTGTTATTTGTACATAGCATGCCAGCAAATTTGTATTCAACACCCCCAAGACATACCAATCACCTGGAGTGGGGAGTGGGCCTAGCAAGCTGAGATCTCCAACCCCATCCAGATGGGACACCATGAGAGAGGAGCTTGGTCTATCAGACGGTATGTCGCTGGCCCCTGTCACTGAACTGTTTGATTAGCCATTTTTTAACCCTATAAAGAGTACCCAAAAAATTGGGACTCGGGGACAGTTGGTCCTACCTGAAATTACCAAAGTTGGACATATGTTCGGAATCTCAACAAGATTTCCCCTGCTAATTTAGGACATCAAAGTTGTTAAATCACAGAAGCATCCAAATTGAGTTTGAAACTGAGGTTTCATGCTGCTTCCGTTTGTTGTATTGTATAAACTTAATGAAGCCTGCTCTACACATCAAAGCAACTCAGGATTGAACAGCTTGGTTGTTTGAGTGCCGTTACAAAGTCATGCAGATTCAGAGCTTTTCTGTCCAAGCTGCAGCTTTGGATTGACATGTATTTTACTAAAATATTAAACTCGAATTGGACCTGTGCTTCTCTATAAAAAATGAATATTTGTTGCATGAAAAGTTTAAGTTCCAGCAGTAGTTTGTGTTTGCTACAGTATAAAACTAGAGCGCTGACTCACTTATGCAAAGTAATGCCTACTGGGCGCATCCATGTTTGTGTACAAACCTATGGAAAACTCAACATTTTGTACGGCTTTTGTACAATGTACAGCTGTTTGCATGTGCGTCATTCTATAAATTTAGGGTCCAAAAACGTGACATTTTGGTGTCCCTGTTACACCTGACCTGTGTAATTTGACACGGAAATAATGTCACTGAAATTGATTTCAAGCTGTTTCTGCTTGACATGTACATGTACATGTAACTTGCATTCAATTCGTCACTCTTGGAAATTAGAGAGTGTATTCTGAACTTACAAAATCCATACATGCAGGTCAGATGTGACAGGCACATAAGAAAAATTGGAGCCGTAAGTTACAGAATGACCCATATCTGCATCTGTATTCTAAAACAGTACATCAACAAAGCCAATATACATAAAAACTAATGCACAATCAATAGATGAGTGTTTCGTTTTGCTGTGCGCTGGAGATGATGTTGCCGTGACTTTTTCAATTGGATTTTAGTGGTACAGGATGCACGTTGCATGTAGAGTACATAATTCGATATTCCTTCTATCTGATTTTGAATGTTCTACAAGCACGCACATGGATTCAAAATGTCGGCGGCCAAGACAGCGTCAAATTTTCTCTACGTGGGGAATGAGAAATTTGCGCTGTAGTTTTTATTTAATTTAATACATGTAGGCCTAGCTCTACGATGTATATATTTTTGTACATGTGTAAAGGATTCTAGGGGAAAAGAAGTTTAGGTACAAAAGTATACTGCAATTGACTGGTAAAATCAAGAAAAAAAATCAGACGTTGAACTATTTCCATTGTACATAAAGAGATATTTTATTTGTACAGTTATAAAAAGCAATCTGGATTTTACACAAAATGTTTAATTGTTCTTTATTTGTTCTGAAATACGGTACAAACCCGTACAGAATTCTCTCACCTTGCAATTGTTTAGGAGTTTGTCGGTTTTTGTTGAAAGCAAAGCCAACCGGGCTAAAGAGCTTAGTGTAACAAAGCCAAGTAATTATTCCAGCCTGACAATTGTCACACAAAGGCTTTTGTGGTACACTCTGTGCACCTACAGTAATTGAATAGTGTACCCATCTGGCAAGTTGTGAATGTGCTGTGCATGAGTCATGATAGTGGCATTACAGGTATGTGTGAAATTGTACACAACTCCTGCCTGTGTGATCATGGTGAACCATGGTGGAACAAAATCTGAGCATAAACCAATCAACAAATCAATAATGGAAAAATGCTTCATGTAAGCAAATAATGGATGGAGTGCCTTTTTGAAATTCTTTTGTTACCTGGCAACCCCTACACATTAAAAGATGCACACTGTATCCGCGCAGTGTTCATCCTTGAGAAAAAAAGCCTTATGAACTTGAAAATGAATCTACAACAGTTGAATTAAATTACAATATTTTGAGTAGTCTCACATGTGAACACTGTTCAGTTTCTACTGTATCTACAAGGATTTTAGGGGAAAAGTTTTTTATGCACACTGACAGTCTGGCAGTTTGGAGTCTCTTGAAAAGCCCTGTCACCTTCACAAAAACATCTGTGTTAAACAGACTTAATATTAATCTCAATTTACAAATCAAACTGCTAGTACTATTGAGTGTCACACCATAACTTGTCATGTTCTAGTACATGTACATACACGTTTGTGTAATTCCAGAAATTAGGGGTCCATTTTTGTTCACGTTCCTGTCACATCTGACATATGATTTTGTAAGTTCAGAATACATATTCTAATTTCCAAGAGTGATGTAAATTACCTGCCAAACAAATACCAGTAGTAATAGTTTGAAATCAATTCCGGTGATATTTCCATGTCAAATAACACAGGTGAGATGTAACGGGGACACGAAAATGTCCCACTTTTTGACCCCTAATTTCTGGAATTACCCAAATCTTATTGAAATCCCCCTCCCCCCAAAGAATCTCACGGTTTACCCTTATGCCTAATATTATGCTTTGCAAATTTGACAGAAAAGGTAGAAAGTTTGACCAGGACTTAAGCCAGATTTAGTACTTGATTTATACATCCATATATGTAGCTACATGTACATGTACAGTGTGAGCACTGAGGCCCCGGCCAAAATTATGCCCCAACATTTGTGACCTTTGCTACATAAATAAAGTAGTTAGGCCCACATACCAGTAAATGTACCCTACTCTTTGTGTAAACTTCTTGTGTTATGGAAGCTTGCTGCAGGGCAGAAAAACAGTGCTTAAATGTTGGCCTATGTCCCACTTTTGATCCTTAAATATTAAAAGAAAGACCCCATTACCACATACATAAGATGTACATGTGTACATGTACATGGGCGGGCCTCTCTTTTCTTAGACAAATTAGGACCAGGTTGTGGAGACATTTCGTCTGTCTCCCAAACTTTGTCGGCCCCCACAAAAATGGGTGAAATACATGTAATGTGTGCATTTGTCCCCTCAACTACGGAACGTATTCACCTATACGCATGTGTGCGTGTACATGTCAGGGTGAGTCCTTGATTGTAGAAACCTGACAAATGCACACATTATCCTGTGTCAGTGGTGATAACCATTACTATTACATGTAGGATGACCCTTTCAGGACTGAGTCAACAAATAGATAGTTTGCTGTGGCCTGGTAACAATGAATTGAGTTGGGAGGCGCTTTTGTGGTGGTTTCCGTAGCAACCAAACTAGCCCCCACAATGGGTTGTGGGGCAGTTATAGTAACGAGGGGTTGTAAAGTGGGGATACTTTGTGCAGTGACACTGTTGGTCATTAAGGACCAACACCACCATTGGGAAGTTATTCCATTCCAAGTAAAGTAATTCATCAAATTTCAATTACTGTGCAGCCAGTGCTTGATACGCTGCACGTTCATGTACCGGTACCCGGTACATATGTTCAAAATAAGGACACATGAAGTTACATCAAATCACCATTTGTGTTTGCTGGTAAAACTACATGTACATGTAGGCATTTGGCTTCATGAAAAAGGTTACTTGAAGCCCAATTAAAGTTGCATGTACTGTAACAGGATTCCCACAGCCTGGAAAAGTCATGGAATTTTGTAAAAATGACTAAAGTCATGGAAAAGTCCTGGAATTTTTCAAACACTGTGTGTGATTTCTATCACCAGAAATACATAAGGGCATAAAATGCGTGATTTTATCCACAACTTTGAAAGTCCGAATAGTCCAGGAAGCTGCATTGTTGGGTCATGGATTTTCATATTTAGTCATGGAAAAGTCTTGGAATTTAATTGTCCTGTACCGGTAGGTGCAGAAACCCTGTGTAAGTAACAAATCCACCGATGTAGAATGTGGAAATGTATTGATTTGATGAACAACTTTTTCAAAAATTGTGTCGTGATGAATGACTGAAAGTGATTTGAAAGCAGCTTATTTCATGTACAATGTACATCAGCAAATCACAACTCACATTTGATACAGCCTCTTCTTTCGTAGACCAGTGCAAATGTACCGTACTGCAGTGTGTGCAAAGGGACAGAGTTTGAATTCTTTAATCTACTTCATTAAACAGTCTTGAGAAAGTGTTTGTTTTTCTGAACTTATATTCCCTCCTCCTCCTTATATTTCAGATGATTATCTGAACAGCGACAGTGAGTCTGGCGACGAAAATGAAGCCAATGGATATGGTGAGTGAAAGGCTGGAACTTATGCTGAGGAAATTGTGCAGTTACACTACATTTGATGAGTTATTTCTTAATTAGCATTATTTGGTAGGACCAATCAAATCTCCTAAATAACAAGAGCACTGTTTATACAACTTTCTGCTTTTAATGACAAGCAACTTGGGGGGTCCCAATCCTTTGTTTTTTTTTCATTCTGTAGCAAACGGTGTACATACATGTACATGTGCATGTAGGCTACATGTATGACTTATTTCAGTATCTTCATTGTACAAAGAGTGTCTTCAAAATCCTGGAGCGAATGGAAGTCCACACCGCATAAATCATGGTCAGCCTAGGACATTCCACACCTGCTTCTGTTTGCACTTTTTAATATCCAGACTCTAAGCCCACATTCCAGCACAAGTTCAACAGGCCTGCCAATGACGCTCACGACTGTGGAATTGGCTACAAAAGTTCAGCGTGTATTATGCTTTGTATCAGTGCTGTACAGATGTTACTCGATGGGGTGAGGCTGAGTAACTGCCACTCACCGGCCAAACATGGACAGGAAAAAAAAGTGAACTTCCTATTGGAAAGTCTACATATGTCCTCTGTACCTTCAAGCAGTTGAATGAATTACACATTCTGTGCATAAATGTTCCATGCATATCACAGACAATTAGGAAGGGAAAAACAACCTACAAACAGGGTCATTCAGAGCACATAGCCCATCTTGTATTTTTATTTGGGCATTTAAGCAATACTGTCAGACCTATTTTGTTTGACCATTGTCTCGGACAAACATAATTAAACTGATGCTAATTTTATAATGTGCTGTTCATACAGTGGACCATACCTGTTCATGTACACAAAATTCAAGGACTCTGATTGCCTCTTGCTCAAGCAGTCACATGTAAATGTAAAGATATGGTGTACTGCATATCTCCAATTACCATCTTCATCATGTCCCAAATCTGGAAATCAAATGGATAAATAGGTCGTTAAGTTTGGGGAGTGTACATTGTACAGTGTGTGCTTGTTTAAATCCATGTCATGCATAATATGCCAATGTGTTCACAGCTACGTGGAAGGGATTACATGTAGTTAAAAGTGTCTTATCTGTACTTGGCCACTTGGTCATTTAATAGTCACATATAAACTGTATTGTAATAACTTAAAGGGTACTGGGATATATGTATGTGTAGCTGCAATGCATTTTGCTTTGACATACACCTAGGTCTCTGTTTACTTCAATTTTATATGTATACTGGGTACCCTATTCTATTCAGTTCACACCTTATATTATACTACATGCAGGTAGGTTTCTTTGTTCAAAGTAGCTATGGAGTTGCTATGATCATTCACTTGGAAGCCGTACCCACTCTGGAGTAGACTACATTGTTTAGTACTCTCTGCACTGTTGGATTAGGTGTAAGATGCCCTGGCGAAGGATGAGCAGTGTCATTCCTTAAGTCTTTGCTCACTGCACCAGCCTGTTTTACTGTAATTTGGCTCGCCATGTGGTCTCACTTGGGGGGGATGGCTCGGGTCTGGCATTGCAAAAATGTTGAAGTTGATTGAGTTTGTCATATAAACTATCAATTCTCCCCTTCCCCCCAAAAATTACATCCTCACTACACATGTACATGTTTGGAAATTTACATGTACGTTGTCTGCATGAAAACAAGACGTGCCTCCATGCCCCCATTAAAAATAGCGTCATCTTAAAACACAATTTGGGTCAAGCACTCTCTGGGCGAACTGTAATGCGCTGGTAGGCAACAGAACCCACCACTGTTTATCAACAAGGACAAGATGGGGTAATTACCACCTCCAGGGAGTGTGAAAGCGGCAGCATTCAACCTAAATAGCACGAGGGTCACTCCACGGTGCTATTTGGAAAATCTTAACAGGCACCTTGATCAAAACTACACAAAAGAACATTGGTAAAATATGTTTAAGGCCTACCATATTTTGCATTGATTTCACTGCAAGGGCTGCATTACCAGTCCTGCAGTTGTCAATGGAGACATCAATCATGATGGTTTGTGATTCAATCAAGCATGACCTCATTGACTGTGCACATAGTAATTGGCCATCTGGCTCTTGCTGTGAGCACTCAGGGGACTCGCGTCATGGGTATTAATAAAAAATGAGTCAGTACTCAGCAAAAAACACTGGCAATTTTATCCTAAGACAAAAACCAGATCCCTTTGTGTTGGTGTAGGCATACTGTACATGTACATGCAGGTGTGAGCATGCGTGCAATTTACATCATGTTCATGATGGAAAGAAGGAAAAAACAAAATAACCTATCAAAAAAATCCCCCACCCCAAAAACCAAAATGCAAATCTAAACCCCAAACTCAAACCCACACAACCCAAACCCAAACAGCCCAAGACCAAACCCAAACAACCCAAGCCCCAAACCCAGACAACTCAAACCCCTGAAACCCAAACAACACAAGACCAAACCCAAACAACCCAAGTCCAAAACCCAAACCCTGTCAACCCAGCTCAAACAACTCAAGACCAAGCCCAAAACTCAAACCGAAACAATCCCAGACCAATCCCAAACAACCCAAACCCAAACAACAAAAGACTAAACCCAAACAGCCCAGGCCTCAAACCCAGACAACTCAAACCCCCAAAACCCAAACAACGCAAGACCAAACCCAAATAACCCAAACCCAGTCAACCCAGCTCAAACAACTCAAGACCAAGCCCAAAACTCAAACCCAAACAATCCCAGACCAATCTCAAACAACCCAAACCCAAACAACATAAGACCAAACCCAAACAATCCTAGACCAAACCCAAACAACCCAAGCCCCAAACCCAGACAACTCAAACCCCCCAAACCCAAACAACCCAAGAGCAAACCAAACAACCCAAGTCCAAAACCCAAACAACCCAAGACTAAACCCAAATAATCCAAGACCAAACCCAAACAATCCAAAACTGAACCCAAACCACCCAAAACCAACCCAAGCATCCCGAGACCAAACCCTTAACCCAAACCAAACAACTTAAAGCCCAAAGTTTACATCAAAACCAAACCACAAAATCCAAACTCAAATAACCCAAACATTTTGATAGATTGGTATACATTTTTCATGCTCACCTGTGTGTAGAAATTCCCCGTAGCCAGTAATACAATCGTTATTAAAAAGAATCTGGGGAGAAAGTGTAGTTTGAAAAAATATAAAGCTCTGCATTTTACCTCCGCTGTTTTACAGTGCATGTGTACATGTACATGCCAAGTTGTCAAATTTAAACACAGGCATGCAGACAAGTGTAATTTCAGTACGCAAACAAGTGGAAAAGTGGACATTATGTCTTTTTTGGCATTGATACACAAGGCCAGAGTTCATGCAACTATAGAGCATGGACCCATGCTCTATGATGCAACTGACTCGTGCAGATTATTCCAGTGTCTGGCATCCCGAGGGGTCATTATCCATCCAGTGACTCACTGTGAGCCCTCGTCAGCCTGGGGCGACTTACATGTAACGCTGGAACAGGCAGCAATTCCACTGTCAATTTAATCCAGGCTTGCCCAGGTCCCAATTCATTTCAAATTACATATTGATTATGAAAGTGGCATTTCTGTATGGAAGCATTCCATCTTCATAAGCAGGCCGCCCTTGCTCATTATAAGCGGTCATATGCATCGCGTGTAAATTGCTGTCCCTTCGCTCTGCGGACGAGCTTCATTATGTACACAGTGCAGCTGGGGGTGTGTGATGTGTGAAATGTCATCTCTTAGATGAAAGTCTGGAGTGTAGGATTTGGTAGTAAGGTCAAGATACGTGTAGTGTATATCCGTATGCGTGTATAAAACCAGAACAGTAGACAGACGGGAGATTACCGAGCAGCATCGTGAGTATAATCAGTGAGGATGAAACCGATGTCAGTCCTGTTTTTCTGCTCCGTGTAAATGCGGCCTGCCCGTACACGTACATGTACCTGTGCATAAATTCCCGGAATGTAAGTCCTTTTTTTTGTAATGCGAGAATGTGGTTGTATTGTCACAGTTGATTTTGTCCTGAGTTTTTATTCTTGAGACGCATTGTCTTGTTGGCTTGTGACGATCTATTAAAATAGATGAACATACATGAACCAGTACATGTACATGTGCTTACCCAAGTAACATGTAATACATGTATTTTCATGAATATAATACATGTACTACATGTATATGGCTACCTGCATGACAGATTCATACATGCACATGCACATGCCTGCAAGTTTTAACATTGATCAATGTGAACATGGCATTGTATTGTACTAGTACCCCCAGTAAGTCACTCCACCATCACCTGTACAGTGTTACTTTAACCCTAACCTTACATGTACATAATACCACAAATTACTACATGTACTTGTAGTAAGCTTATAAGAGGACATGACCGTATTGTTCTCTGAGGCCATAAAATACAATAGAAAAGACAATGTACATGTACCATACAGTGCTGTGGCACTATGAATGCATAGCTTTATTGTTCTCTGTACGAGTAACAATGGAAGTCACCTAGCCAGAAGTAGTAATTTGTAGTGCTAGGTTCTTCAGGCTCAGGCTATTACTTAGTATTTTGTAGAAATTTGTGAGTACTGTAAGCCAAACAACATGCTTGGCGGTTAGGGCTAAACCTACACTGTAGATGTAGATCAATGTACATGTATGTATGGACATGGCTTATCAGCTCTGTACTTCTTGGTGTAGAGTGACTTTACCACTTCTGTCTGTACCCCTGTAAGCAATATTGTGTGGTGTGTGTCCATGTGATACATGAGCGTTACTAGACCATTATAATGGGGGAAGGGGGATTAATTGCCATCATGACATTTGCATGCCAATGGACCATTGACAAATTTCATGATTGCATTGGTAATCCTTTGACCGGATACCCTCCCTCTCTTCTCCATTCTTGCTGACAGCGCCCTAGTTTGCCAACAAAACTCAACACTAAGGAGGGGGGGACACCTGCACCCCAGCTCTAGCGATGCCTATATTGATACATGTACATGTAGTAGTAAAGGCCTGTCATTGGATGTCTGATTTCTTCAGTATATGCCTGTACAGTGTAGCACATCTCATGGATCATAATTCTACATGTGTAGTTTACACATGTAACTTACTGTATGTACATGTATGTATGTTTGTGTACATTCTTGTACATGTGGATGTATTCTAAGCCATACTGTACATGTATGTACCGTTGAAACCAATTTTCCTGAACCAGTAATTTGTTTTCCTGTTAAAGCGATCTTGCCAAAGGTTTTCTTTCAAAAGACATTTTTTTGGGGTGGGGTTCATTTCTCCAGAAGTTGGGTTTTGTTTATCTTCTAGTTTATACATCATGGGCAATTTCAGAAATTACGGGTCCATTTTTTGTGTGTTTCCCTGTCACATCTGACGTGCGTGTATGATTTTCGCAAGTTCAGAACACATTTTCTAATTTCCAAGAGTGATGGATTAATGCAAATTACCTGCCAAACAATAGTAATAGTTTGAAATCAATTCTGGTGATATTTCCATGTCAAATAGCAAAGGTCAGATGTTTTCATGTAACAGGGACACAAAAATGTCACAATTTGGACCCCTAATTTCTGGATTCACCCATACATACATTGTGTACATGTACATGTGTATGTACGCAGTAGTTCACAATGCATGATTTTTCTGTGTAATATCAGGCCAAGTATCCAGGGAGGATGTTGAGGCTTTGCGGAGGGAACTGGAAGAGAAAGACAAACAGAGAGAAGACCTGATTCTCCAAGTCAAGGTAAGGACACCGCCGTGGCGCGTCAGGATCAGTGCCGCCCTCTGCCTTTCACTTGAGTATTCTCAGGTTCGTTGTGAGGGCTCACTTGTGCACTCAAGGTGACTTAACTTTGCTCCATTGATTAGGCGCACATGAACCGTACACTGTACTTGTATCTACTGTGTAGCACTCTCTCGAATATAAGGACTTTTGGTACATATGTACATGTACATGTATACTGACATGTGCAGGGTTCCCACAGCCTATTAGTTAAAAAAATCATGAAATAGTCATGGAAATTTGTTTTTGTTTTCCAGGCCCGATATGGAATTTTGTAAAAATGATTCAATTCATGGAAAAGTCATGGAATTTTTCAAACACTTGTTTGTGATTTCTGTTATTAGAAATATGGTACATGTAAGTGCAACTTTGGAAGTCCGAAGAGTCCAAAAATTGCATTCATTGGGCCATGGATTTTTATAATTTGGTCATGGAAAAGTTGTAGAAAGGTCATGGAATTCAAGCGTCCTTTAGGATGTAGGTGCAGGAACCCTGTATGTGTGTGCTTCAGTGTAATGTGTGGTAATCAGATTATGACAAATACAATATTGCTTCAGAACCAGATTTGCAGTGTCCACTAAATACCTGTAAACTTGGCTGCTTGTTGGTTGTGGGTTTTCATTCCTCGGTGCATGTGCCTTGTTATGTTGCACACTACAAGTGAAAATTGGCCTTGGACAGAAGCACCACTCATCGGTTGCGAAGAGCCACGTCGGTCGGGAGTGTTCATTTTGCTGGTAGTGACTCGACCATAACGTGTGCATACCGTAGTCCGTTGTGAGCCAGCGAAGCGCAGTTTCGACTGAAGGAGCCGCCATTGCTAGGAAAAGTGCGCCCTCCATCGGTCCAGCTCGGGGCTTATGCCATATTAAGTGGAACACAAACAGCCCAGGAAAAAGTCCGTCAGTGAGGGAATGAAGCAGAAACGATGGCATCTGAACTATGCAGCTGATGATAATTAGCGACATCATTATTTACAGCTCCATGTCCAATATACGTTCATGTTATGCACTGGACATGCAGCACAGCTTTCACTCAAAATACTTTCAGGGCTACCGGTATGAAAGCAGGGTCTTTGGAATTTACATGAGGGTCTGACAGATGGTTGAGTAATTTGAAAACGTGTGAAGCGAACTGTGTTGACTTTGTTGTACATGCATAATATGTACATGAAAGATAACCCATGGTCATGTACTTTGTGTTGAAGGATTATTTGAATGTGTAGTTAGGAATATTCTGCAAAGATGACAAGTATTCAAGTAGACATCCGGTACCACTAGGACAGTGTGTACTGGATGAACATGTGAGGATCTAGAACAGTGCTTGGGTAGTGGATACTGTTGCATTTTCTTGTGATGCTCTAATCCAAATGCCGGTTTGTTTCGCATGGATCTGGATCTCAATCGGTGATCCCATCGCTTATTCGCTCCATACATTAGGTGGGTTTTGGTGTCAGTGAACCAACGATGGATCATTGATGGCATTGCAATCAGTGATCCCATTGCTGGTTCCCTCCATCCATTAGGTGGGTTGTGGTGTCAGGGAACCAACGATGGATATTGATGGCAATCAGTGATTCCATCGCTGGTTCGCTCCATCCATTAGGTGGGTTTTGGTGTCAGTGAACCAATGATGGATCACTGATCTTGGTCAGTGATCCCATCGCTGGGTCGCTCCATCATCCATTAGGTGGGTTTTGGTATCAGGGAACCAACGAGGGATCATTGATGGCAATCAGGGATCCATCGCTGGTTCGCCACCTCCATTAGGTGGGTTTTGGTGTCAGTGAACTAATGACGGATCACAGATTGTGATCCAGATCCATGTGAAAGAAACAGGACCCGTGGGTATGATTACGATTCTTGGCCCCCTCACAGAACTTCAGAGAAAACGCCAAAAAGTACAGGGCACGATGCGAGAAGGAGCAGGCTAACAAGTGGCAGCAGATCAAGATAATGAAGAAGACTCACGAGTCCCATCTTGACGAGAAGCGACAACTCATTCGTAACCTCCAGGACATCATCGAGGAGCAGGAAGGTCGGATATACGAGCTGGAGAGCGAGATCAAAGGTCAGTGACGGACCCCGGGCCTGAACTCACTGTCGCCACAAGAAGTGTAAACGTGATTTGGCAGTGTGAATTCCTGGGCAAGGCTGATGGGCTAAGCTCTCGCATTCCCTGAAATAACAAATGGTAGATGATGTATATGTGTACATTTGCAATCCGAGCTGTTTTGCATGCACAAAAACACAAAACACCCAAGTAGGTCTGAGGAGGCCATGTGTCAGACTTTTACCTCTGCACACGATCTGTTCTTACTGCAAATATTGCTGTGTACCCCAGAGGTTGCGGTAAGAAACTGTGGACAAACAGTGTTCAAGTGCCCCTTATGAGTCAATATTTGTGGCATTTGTAGTTGAAAAGTTGGCCACTCTTGGCTTGTACGATGGGCAGGATTTTCGGCCTGATAGACCCTCTACTAGTCATTAATGAATTATTCAAAACTTGAATACGACAATTAGGCCTCTGCAGTTCACGCACAAAGTTAGTCAACCTCACATCAAGCAAACAGGGACATTACGGTTTTTGTTTGTCTTTGTTGTACGTGCTGATGAATGGATATCTAATTGCACAAAAATCACTGCTTCTGTAGAAAACCCAACGAGATCCGTTATTGAAGAACATTCTCCGTATGACTGTTACCATAGATAGATAGATTCCATTTCTATTTGTACGTCGCCATACTTATTATCATTTGCAGGCAACAGCAGCCCCACTCCCAGTGCACCAAACCTCTCGGAGCACGTGCAGAAGCTAGCCAGCTCCCTGGACCGGCTGCAAACCGAAATGGCGGGTATCCGGGAGAAGCAACTGGCTGCTGAGCACCAGCTGGTCGCCATGGAGCAGGACCACGAGAACGAGAAGAGGGGCATCCAGGAGGACATGGCCCAGCTCCGGTCAGAGCTGAAAGACGCCCAGGGGATGATACAGACACTGAGCAATGGAGACGTAAGAAACGTCTGACTGGAACACACAGTCTCGGCCTAGGAGCACAAGGCATTGTGTTATACCATGTTAACAGACAAGGGTGTGAGAATTCAGCTTTTCAGCTGATTTCAGCTTTTTTTTTCTGTAGATGTTGACCCTGAATTTTAGCTTTTGTGTACACCAGGCCTGTACAAAAGTATGGGAACTTTTTACATTTCAGCTTTTTGCTAGCTCAGCGTCAATATCCAGAAGCGGACTTTTGCTGAGTACCAGCGTAGATGTAGCTGTTTTCAGCTTTAATTTTAAGTGGCCACTCACACCCCTGAATAGATTACGTTAGATTAGTTAGTAGATAAATTACATTAATCGATCATGTGTTATGGCATAAATACTCATGTACTGGATCGCGAACACTTTGTTGATGAAGACAATTTTAGCAGAGTGAAATGCATTGTGACGCATTAAAATGTTTTCACTTTGTTCCTTTTGTATTTGCAAAATCTATTACCACGGTGCAACGAAACAGTTGTTCCCTGTTGTAATGAGGTGGCAAATAACATGCTAGGCGAAGCAGAGAGTGCCATTTTAAAATCTGCATTCTGGACCTGTCATTAAGCCATTTGCGAGTTAAATTTGAATAAAATCTGGTGCACTGAGTAATCTGACTGCACATAAACGTAACGATTTGAATTCCCCAGACTAAAGACACCGTTGCTATACCTCGTGATTCGGAGCAAGCTTTTGCATAGCGACCACCATCCCTGGAATGGACTGGTTCCTTTGTGCCCTTCTTATCCATTGAGAAGAGTGCATTGTTGCAAGGCGTCTCTTATGTAACTAAGCAAAAGCTTGCTCCGAATCACGAGGTATGGCAACATTGGTTTTAGTAAGAAGAATTCAAGTTGTTATGTTCACATGAATTTAAAGAACTCAGTGTACCAGATTTGGGTCAAAGTTAACTCGCAAAAGGCCTATTGCAACAATTTGCATGTGTGATCAGCTAAATGTTTTGTGTACAAGACATATGAGTTACTTGCATTTACTTAAGTATTGTTGAAAAAATGAAAATTATAATTGAACAGGCGTGTCTTTCCTCTTAAGGCTATACCGTCTGGTACAGACAACGAGAAAGAGATAGAGCTACTGAAGATGGAACTTCTCAAGTACGAGGATGAACTCAGGAGAGCGAAGGCAATGCAGGAAGAGGCCGCTCGAGAGCAGGCCCGGAGGAGCGAGGAGAGGATCCGCTCACTCCAGGAGGAGATCAAACGGTACAGAGATGATCTGGAGGCGGCCAAAAGGGCGGAGGAGAGGTCGGCTCGGGATCAGGCCGCAAGAGGTGATCAAGAGTTGGACGCGCTCCGGGAAGAGCTGCAGAGGTATGAGGACGAGTTGACGAGTACCAGGACCTCACAGGAGAAGATGGCTCATGAGCAGGCAGAGGCATCTCGGCAGGATGCTGCTATCATCAAGGTATGCGGTGTGTTCCACTCCCACAAAAGAGTTCAATCAGCAGTCTTTAAGACTTAGATTTTGTCGCAGAGCAAGAGTTTTTAAAATGATATCACTTAGATCATATGATTCTCTGGGAGCTTCTGACATTTTCAAATCGTCATCTGATCGTACTTATTTTTTTTTTCTCTCTTTCAGAAATTTGAGCTTGAAAATAGCCGGCTGAAGGACCGGATCCTGGAGCTTGAGGCTGACGTGGCCACCAAGTCCAAGATCATGGCCGAAACAAAGGCCAGTCACAAGAAGCAACAGCAGCATCTGGAGCGGGCCATCACAGAGCAGGCGGCTCGCCTGAAGGAAGTCGAGCTGGAGTTCTCAGAACTAAAAGGGAATCCGCAGGCAAGTTCACCTCTCCCCCCCTCATATCCCTGAAATATTTACATGGACACTACTAGGTTGTGAAATGTGAAACCCACTTTATGCTGAATAAAGTTTGAAATTCATTTCCCAATGTCTAGGTAGTTGAAGTTGTCAAGACAGTGACCGTAGAGTCAGAGGAGGCCAAACAGGCTCTGATTGCCTCCCAAGGAACCAATGCCCAACTCAGGCAGCAAGTCTCCGCACTCAGGCAGTCGTGCGAGGCGACAGAAAAACAGTTGAAGCACTCTAAGACGCATGTGTTAGCTCTGCAAGAGAGGGTAATGCTAAAGGCTCTGTCTTTCAGATGACTGGATTTTTTTTCTGTATCTGTCAATACTCTCATCTCATCTAGCAGTTGTGTTTTTAGAGGAGAGAAAATTATTTCTTGCACATGTGGGTTACAGTCTGTCAATTTAAATTGATTTGATTTGCGCACAGTTGAAGGAGCAGGAATCCCAGATGGCCGTCTTGGACCAGGAGCTCCAGTCTGTCTTGGAGCGGTCGGCGGCCGAAGTCTCTGACGCCCGCAAGCAGGGAGAGGAGACTGCCCGAGCACTCAGCCAGCGCTTTACTGCCCTTCAGACCAAGTTTGCCCACCTCCGTCCCGGCCTCTTGACCGTTGCTCAGGAGTACCAGCAGTTGCGGTCACTCTGCGGCCAGTTCCCCTCGATGCTGAAGGCAGCTATCGCTCAGGCCAAGGAAGAGGCGAGTTGAAAAAGTTCAAGTATTAAATGTAGGCTACGTAACTTCACATAGCAAACTTGAACCTCTGGTCTGGAACAAAGAAATGGAAAAATCTTGAAAAATTGCTAGTGACTATAGTTGCAAGAAAAACCATATTTCAAGAGCGATTTCGGTCAATTAGTCAGACAGGCATGTTGCACTGTTACTAGATTCGTGATAGCGCCCCCAATGAGGTCAAGGTGTGCAGCGTGTGGCCCTACACTTTGGCTGTTTGACCTCACCAGTGCAATTCCTCTGCATGGATTAAGTTCCCACTTGGAAATATTTCCAAATCAAGTTAGATTATTTAGTTTCACCCGTACCCAAAGGAGGTGTGAAATTACTGGTATATTTAAATCGATGATTCTGGACTGTTAAGGTTAACAGGTCTAAAAAAGAAGTCAGGAAATGAGGCAGGGTTCCTAGAATTTTGTCCCACTCCAGGCCACTTTGATAGGTTTCAATCTCCGTTGTTTGTTTCTTCGTATCCTGTGGAATGTTTTATAAAAGGGGAACATTACTGCCTTTTTTCTGTCCTCGATGGAATTGTTTCACTCCGTTTATTTCTCACACTAGCACAAACAATTCCGCCTTGATTACTTGTTGGTTTACTTTTGTAGTACACTAATTTTCCTTTGAAAATGAAAATGTTAAAATCAGCATTGAAGTGGCACATGTACAGTTTATCCCAGTGTCTGTGTCTTGGGCAATTTTGCAAGATCATGCATTTGCCGTCTGAAACCCCAACAATCAAGTTCGGTGTGAGATCAATCAAGTTTTATATTTAAAATAGCGTCGAAAGGATGTTCATTACATAATGCCCCAGCTCCATTACCTGCGTCACTTTCCTTTCAACATGCAGATCGGAAAGGCCTTGGCAGATATCACTGAGCACAACCGGGAACTGGTCCAGAAGTACCACCGGGAGATGGCGCTGCGAAAGAAATACCACAATGAGATCATCGACCTGAAGGGGAGCATCCGCGTCTTCTGTAGGGTCCGGCCCATCATCAAGGAGGATGGGGCGGGTGCCCTGGCCAAGAATGCCGTCTCCTTGGATGCCGACGATGACGCTCTCCTCTACCTCCAGAATAAGGGCCGGTCGACGACCTTCGAGGTCGACAAGGTGTTCTCGGCCGAGTCGACCCAGGAGCAGGTGATGTTTCTCCCGACTTAACCTTCCTTTGTAGTAAGCCACGCAGCTTCGTATTCCACCTTGGCATGGGCTGATCAGGATTTGGCAATATCTATCGCGGGATAATTGGAAATGTGCGCACGTCTGATGGAGAGAGTGTTTAACTAATATCTAACCAGCAGGTTTTTATGCGTCCAAAATAAGATTGGGACGTACATTTAGTTAAAAAATAACAAATTGTGCACAGATGTTGATCCCTACTACACAAGAACATTTCTTGAATTTTGTAGCCACGTACCGGTACTGTTATATGCATGTGATTGATTATCCTGAATTGTATATTGTATATCCCAGTCATCGAGTGTTATTTATAGGGGAATAAATATGTGTTTGGCCGATCTTGAACGTACATGTACGTTTTGTGGCTTGGGCATTAGTTGCGTCCATTCTCCTGAGCTGGTCTTAAACTAAGTACATGTTTATTCCCATTCATAAATACCTTTTTTAGCCAGAGAGTCAAAAGAAGTCAATATATGATGGATTTTTAACAATTTTATTCCAGAATTTTACTTCCATTGTTCCAAACACCCCTGTCCATTTTATGGTGTATTCCTTGTGCAAGTTGTCCAAAAGAATCTCCGTATATGGACTTGGCATGTATGTGTCGAGCCGCGTACTCACAGACTCTTGACCAATCAGAATCGATTAAACTGTCTCGTATCTAGGTTCCAGAGCGTTTTTACACGGCGGGCATTATCACTTCTCAGCGGGCATTATCAAACATTAATACACAGTCAAGTTGCGCGTTGTTGAATAGGGAGTCTCTCTGAGGTATTTATGAATGTACATGTATGTTATTACATATAGTGAGTTCCTTCTGAGCTTGCTGAATAATATGTCAGAACTTTGCTACGATGCCACTTTCATCTTTAGTTCACATATGTATGCAGGTACAAAGTTACACCCAGGTCTTGTACCGGTGGCTCAAAATTGATCCACAATCTTACTTGCAAAAGTCATGCTCTAATGAGTCAAATACATACATTCTGAACAGTTGTATCTCTTGTCAGTTTCAGTGTTCTTGCTCTTTCCAGTTCTATGAATGGCCGCGTCCTTACTTTTTCAGACGTATTAATGCTTGTCTTTCTGTTCTTCATGAGTCCAGAGCTTCAGTCTTTCCTTGTAGCCATTACTGCCTGTTTTCTATCAGGCATCCGTGCTTTTAACTTTGTTCTTTCTCTCTGCAGGTATTCCACGAAGTGGAGCCCCTTGTAGTGTCCAGCATTGACGGGTACAACGTATGCATCTTTGCATATGGCCAAACAGGGTCAGGCAAAACCTACACCATGGAGGTAATCCGAGTTGATTTTTCACTTCATTCGAAGAGCACATGCGTTTGAATTTCTAGTTGAGCGTTTGTTGAATGGCATCGGTGTACCATCTGTTGGGTTACTGAATTCAGAGAAGTTGCAGTCAGATGCTAGTTATGAAACAATAGACAAAGCGATCACTCTCATCCAAGTTGTTGAACTTGTGGCAGGCTGTAGATTTCTGCATTGCCATCTGTCAGTGCCACTTTTGACCAGCAGCTTGGGAGGAAAACAGTGTCTGAATGAATTGTTGCATCCAAAACCTCAGAGAGGTCCGTGAACTATCTTCAGTCCTTCAACATCCTCCGGGCAGTTTTGGAAAATTTTGGAGGATTGAGGCTGCATGGCAAAATCGCATTGCTGATCGCGAGGGATGCATTGTCTCACGGTTGTGGGTTGGGCCCTGTGTCGCTCATGTTTAGCCATATACCCACATTATGTGTGAAATCCGCTATTCTGCTCCAGGGTACCATTCACACTGCCTCAACATAATAAAAGGAAATGCCGGAGGATTTTGAAGGATTGAGGTAGTGGGTACCTGTGCACTGAATATACTCAAGAAATATCAGAGGATTTTGGAGGACTGATGAGACCTTATCCAATTTTTTTTTTCATGGGGGCAGTTGGAGGATTTTGTAGGATCGAGGGTGTATCCTAGCCATTATATGTCCAGCAAGACAAGTTCCCGATGAAAGAAAAGTTGGCTCGGGGCAGGCTACACAAATCATGCATTGGCAATATGTGACGCAACATTCCAAAAGCCAGCCTGAAGTTGGCAACTTCGATATTAGACATTTCCCCTCCCTCCCTACTTAGTTTTTTACGTATTTCAGAGTGATCCTTTCTAAACGGTTTGTCTACAGGAAGGTTTGTCGTCGTCTGGGCAGAGAAAGTTGTGGAGTTTGCGTTGCTCGTGTGTTATGACATCATGCCATTATTTCAAAGATGGATTTGTGTCGGGGAGATGTATATTAATTTTGGATTTTTGCCCTGCCCGACGTTTATTTAAACACTGTCTACTCAGTGTATGCCCCCAAAGGCTTGTGAAAAAAGATACACGTCGGGCAGGTCAAAAATCCAAAATCAAACTAAGCCGCCACATTTTGCACAGCATTGTGGGACACTTACCCTAGCAACCAGCTTGTTGGGTCAGTTACTTGGGTCAGACCTAAGTAAGCGTGTAGTGTCACACGAGCGTCAAATTTGATCGCTGTGGTGGATACCCGATTATAAAGTGCAAGGAAAGTAATCGAAGACGCTGCTTGGTTTGATGTCTTCTGCAGGGCCCTTCAAGCAACCCTGGTATCAATCAGAGAGCACTTCAGCGCCTCTTCCAAGAGACGGAGCAGAGGAGCGACGAATGGGATTACACCATTTCTGTCTCAGTCATGGAGATATACAATGAGCAGCTTAGGTGAGAGACAATTTTAAAAGCTGGGAAGCGCTAGAATTCTGTGCAGAATGTATCCATATCTGTTTGTGGGCAGTGCCACAGTAATGGAACGACACGTTGACACATTTTGACACGTCAGAGTGCTTCTGTGTAAATACTTTTACCAGTAAAATTGAAAAGAAGAACCAAACCTACTTCAACTCGCATTTTACATGTAAATTGAGAAATATTTTGACTTTGCTAACAATGAGTGTTAATTAGTTTGGTAACAGTATGACACTGTTAGATAATGTAGCATTGTTACGCTTGCTTACCTGTGAGGTCTCAGTCGTGCTACTCGTGGGCTGAAGAGTGGACCCGCGAGTAACACACTAGAATGCATTGTAACAATGCCAAATGATAACCGCACCTCATGTGACAGGTTCTCGACCAATAGGAACAGGTAGTGTCTTTTCCTCATTGTTAGAGTTCCACTTTCGTTGTAGAGATCTCCTGAGCGATGATCCCCAGTACAAACTGGAGATCAAGCTGCACCCTGACGGCAGTGGCCTGTACGTCCCAGGTCTCTGCGAGGTGGAGGTGGGCAGTGTGGAAGACGTGAATGAGGTAAGAATGACTAATATGATACAGGGTTTTGGTGGTTATGAAAAATCCTGAGGGGAAAATGTTGTCCTGGAATGTCTAGGAAAAGTTACAGAAAATTTGGGAAACATTGGGTGTCCTGGAATCCTGTTGTTGGAGGAAAAGTCAAGGAAATTGAGATCATACTCAATGCACTTGGCCAACATGTATGAGGCCATGAACTTCAGATGACCAAAGCATCAATACCCTTTATTTCATTATAAGTAACATGTGACAGCCAATTTGTGGATGAGGGGAGAATTCTTCCCCCCTCCGCACCCCACTGTGAGATGGTCCACCTCTTTTAGGGTTGATCGAATGTTGAGTTCAATTACAAAACAGCAGAATGTACTTTGACATCTTCTGTTTCTCCCCTTAGGTCTTCAGACGGGGCAAGCGCAACCGTGCCACTGCCACCACTGACATGAACGAGCACAGTTCTCGTTCTCACGCTCTCCTCTGCGTCAAAATTGCGGGAATCAACAAGGCCTCTGGAAAGAGATACATAGGTACGTCAGACAGACACTGCAACATTGAAACACAAAATGAAGAAATTTTGTGGAAGCAGGGGACAGAAATTGCACTGAAAGAAAAATGACAATTTTTGGTAGTTTTCATTTGCCTTGAGAAAAGATTGTTTTGACGAGAAAAATGGAAGTCTCTTTATCTGCATGAGTTGTCTTTATTCCCTGACATGGTTAATGATTAAAGTGGCCTATATTTATAATAAGTTTTGTTTTACCTTTAGTTCACATAATTACAGATGCCTATGGCAGTGATATTGACGTTGACTCAAAGGTCTTTATGACAACTGAACTTGGTAAAGGTTACCTATAACATGTCACTCAATCTGCCTCGAGCAGAAGCACCCCCTCATTGGTTGAAAAGAGCCATGTTGGTTAGGAGTGCTCATTTTGTAGGCAGCGCTGCAACCGTGACACGTGCATTTCCTAGTTCCTGAACCAGCAAAGTTAAGTTCTGACCAAAGGAGCCTCCGTTGCTAAGAAAACAGTGCCCCCTCTTGGTCCAGCTGGAGGCCCATAGACCCCGTGTTCTTGCACTGCTCAGTGACCATTCCTTTTTCATGGCATGGAACCACTGAAGATCTGTAAAGTGCAGTCCCTGTATACAAATAATGAATGTTTATGAGTGCAACGGTAAGAATAATCGCACGAGCTGATGGATGAAACGGTCTACCATATTCCACGAGGGAAAGTCCATTTCGTTTGTCACCGAATGCTGGCAGCATCACCGACGTTGACAAGCTCATCAATTTCTCTATCAATTAAAATCGCAAACATCAGATCTACATGTACATGTAAGTCCGCCATGTTGCTGTGAATATTTTGCACCATTGGCTACTACGTGGAAGCTGCAGTGCAATACATCCGGAGGTGTTCGTTATTCATTTCTAATGCACAGTTGTTATATAAATTTTTTGCACTCTGCGTGTGCGTCACGCGCGTCATGTGCCAGCTGTGGGTTTGTGCAAATAATTCAAAACCTTGTGATCAACGCTCCACCAATCAGATGACAGGGATTTATGCAGGTGTTGTATAAAATCAATTTGCCAATCCTTGAGCAACTAACACATGTCATGAGATCAGATCAGTAGTTGTATAATGACCTTGATATTGAATGAGGCGGTATTCTAGTGCTGTCGTGGAGTGTCCCACAATCAACGACATTTCTCTGCTCTGTGCCCCAGGCAAGCTGAACCTCGTGGACTTGGCAGGCTCGGAGCGAGTCAGCAAGTCGGGCTCCGGCGCCGACTCGGCCCGGCTTAAGGAGGCCCAGAACATCAACAAGTCGCTCTCCTCTCTGGGCGACGTCATCTTTGCACTGCGCACCAAGCAGGGTCACATCCCCTACCGGAATTCCAAGCTGACTTACCTGCTACAGGAGTCACTCGGTGAGTGTGCTTTGAACTGTCTTCCAAGGGGCCACTGGAGTACACCAACAGATAGATGTACTGATGCCAGTAACGTCCCCGTTTCCAGGATGCTGCTATCTAGGTGGCTTACAAAATGCCATTTGTTAGTGGAAGAGAAAAGTTTTGTTTTCTTCAGACTTTATAATCCAAACACATGTGACAACTCTCAACAGATACCATACCTGCCAACTGTTCAGATTTATCAGAATTCTTCGGATTTTCAAATTTTAAAGGTTTTAACAATCTAACTGTTCAGAGTTTCCAAGTTTTTAGAAGAAAAACAGAAATCTGGAAAAATGTCTCCCAAATTACCCTGCACCGAGTAGGATGTTTGCCCTTCCTAACTGCCACAACGGTACAGCACACTGGCACTGGGAAGGGTTTTATCTTCTCTGTTTGTATACGAATTACATGTACTTGGCTTGAAATTGTGCAGAGGGGCCCAGACCCAACCCATTATAGGCCGAGGCGCCAGCATGGTATGAACACTTGGTGTTCTGTTTTCTGGATGTCAAATTGAGTTTTGACGTGAATTCAGACTGGAGGTCTTGAGTTGGTCTTGTGAGATCTTTAATGGTCTTGAAGAGGTCTCCACTACAACACTGTAAGATACCAAACTAGTTTTTTTTGTTTTAAATTGCAGTGCGGCACAGTATGCACTGTTCAGCACAGACTAGCTAGGATATATGTGACCGGCTCTAGAAAAATGGGTAATAAGTCGCCAGATTCAGGTTATCAGTTTTTGTAATGGCTGGATTGAGTACATCAAAAGCTACAATTTGATACATGAATGATTCCTGTAGTGCACTGCATTCTGGAGATATTTAGACATATGTATATCAACTTTTGGGATTCAATAAAAGCACTTTTCAAGAAAAAGCTCAGAAAGTGTAGTAGTTAGAAATACAATGCTATGTAGGATTTCCTACTGAATGATCCATTTTTCATCTTTATTCATCATTATCCATGTTTGTAGTCACAAATTCTGAAAACATTAATGTCATACAAGCTAATAGAGGAAAAAATACAAAATCACATTTTTGAAGACATTTTGCCCTCTCCAAATAGAACAGGCCATAACATATTTTGGAATTGCGCGACTTATTACCTTTTTTTGCAGAGTGGGTCACATATGTCACTGCTGTTGCTCTCAATTGACCAATCGGCATTGGATCCCGCTTTACTAGAAAAAGCAGTCTGTCCCGGGCCATTGTGGCTCATAAGGCTGGTCTTTATCTCTGGTTTCCATATTATGAAATAACTGAGAATGTCTCTAATTCCCTTGATGAGATGCTGGTCCATTACTAGTGGCTGGGTGCATCCATGTTCATGCACAGGCCTGTGAGAAAACTTGAGAATTTTGTACGGCTATATTGCTCATCTGCGTCTGTATTCTGAAACAATGCTTCAACCAAGGAAGTATGCCAAAAGCCTACATGCACAATCAGTAAATGAGTGTTTAGTTTTGCTAGCTGGGTCATTCCATGAGGTTGGGGCACAATTTGTGACGGTGTCAATTGTGACATGGGTTCCGTAAAAACGAACAGCTATTTCCCTGCATATGGATTTTGAATTGACATTGGTATACATCTTGCAAGGCTGAAAACAGAGGTGTGTGTTAGTTTTGCAGAGTAAACGACCTACTCTATAGGTCATGACAGGTAGTAAAAGGTTTGGATTTAACAAGGACACCGTCACGAATTGCACCCCAACCTCATGGAATGACCCAGCTGTAAAGAATCCAAACGTGTGCGTATACGCTGCAGATACTTTAAAATTGTATGACAGAAAATGGGCTATGTGTCATTCACCAATGTTGTTCGTGTGTGCTGCCTTTATGCAGGCATGAATTCAAAATGTCTGCTCCTAGAATTTGTCAGTGATTCTATGCATTGAATTGTGAGTTGGCCTTCTAATAATCTGATGCGGCTCTATGCATAAGATTTACCCATATATGAGCATCACAGCTTTGTGCACGACCATGTTGTGCTTCAGTTTCTAAGTCAGTTTACTGCCCCTGAAATGTAAGCTAGGAATGCTGGGCTGAGTGCAATGTCTGCCGTGTTGTGTTGCTTGGCATCTTGACACCACATTCCATGTTTCGAAAAGGAGTATTGCTTTAAACTAGCCAGGCGTGAAAACCATCCTTGGATCAGCCGATTTCCTTGTTTGTCACATTTCATGTACGCCATTGCAAATTGAAAAGTACTATACCAAATCTTTCCAGCTTGAATTTTCTCCATTTTTTTGTGTTTTCCCTTAGTGATATTGCCGAACGTAATTAATATTTGTTCACAGGTGGAGACAGTAAGACGCTGATGGTGGTTCAGATTTCACCTGTCTTAAAGAATGTGAGCGAGTCACAGTGCAGTCTGTCATTTGCCCAGAGAGTGAGGGCAGTGGAACTGGGCGCAGCCTCCAAGCGCACAGAGTCTGCCGAGGTTGCTGCGTTGAAGGACCGGTTGGCGCAGTATGAGGTAGGGAACTAGACTTTAGCTGATGGCAGAAACGTCTGCATAACAGTGTACAACTGTGAGAATTGTTTGACATGGTGATTGTGATTGGTCTGATGAATGCATTAGTCCCCCCCCCGAATCCTCAAAAATTCTCTGGGCAGTTTTTGAGGATTTTGGAGGATTGAGGAAGAATGGCCAAAAGTGTGGCTGATTGTGAAGGGCGCATTGTGTCAAGGTTGTGAGTTCCACCTCTTGTGTTGTAATTTATGCTCAGTCATGAATACCGGTGAACTCATGCCTACATTATATGTGGAATCCTCTGTACTGCTCCATGATACCATTCACACTGCCTCAACTCAAGGACAGAAATTTCCAGAGGATTTTGAAGGATTTGAGGCATTGTCACATGATCATGAATAGATCAGTGAGAACTTACCCCTGTCATGAATATATGGAACCTGCTCTGTCAAAAGGACCCACAAGTCACCAGAGCCACTTTTGAGTAAAAGACCTTTAACAGAATCACAATGTTAATCACGACAACAACCTTCACCCACGTCATGACCATTTTCATCAGGATGTCAGACTGAGCGATATATCGGAACATAGAGCTCAGTTTGCTCATTCCAATACAAACTATAACTCAAAAATGGCTCAGGCAACTTGTGACTCATTTCACAGAGCAGGTCACATGGATGAGATGTACTCTGAGCGATACCCAATGGCTGTTTCTCTGGCTTGTTCCAGCATCGACACTGTTCACGTGAAGGCCATTTTTGATCTTATTTCCCAAATTCTGTTTTGTATATTGCAAACTGCCGATTAGGATGGCACCAGACTGTTTTATAATTTCTATGCGTTCCGAGCTTCCCTTTCAGTAATTTTTAGAATCTGGCAAGGTACAATTCTGCGTGTTCGATCATGAATTTGAAATTATTCTTCAGAGTAGACCGGCGCAAATTTGTCATGAAATTTCATTTTATTGCTTTCATTTGTACTCTCAACATTCAAAACTGAAGAGTTAACCTGGCTTTCAAATTCAATACGGCCAGCCCCGTGGATGAAGTCTATTGCTAATTTTGGAAGTAGTGTGACTGTGTTCATGATTACTTGCCACGCATCAAAAGCCATTTTGTGGCTTTTCTAAACATTCCATTTTTTTTTTCCTGTCATCGTGTTTGTCTGCAGGATGGGCCATCTTCTGGTTATCACTCCTCGCCAACTAGGAGCAACAGGAGCACACCGACACGGACCCCTCGTAGCAATCTAAGGCGATAGTCCCTGACCCATCACTCTCCCTGCAACGGCCCCATTACAGAGCACCGAGGGTACCCAAGGAAAGCCCATTGTAGTACCCAAGGTGAAAGTTCCCCGATCCGAGAATCCTGCACACAGCAGTACTGAACTAAGAGCAGCATGGGTACATCAACGAGAGCCCGTTGTGGCACCCCAGTATGGTAAAACAGCACCCCAAGACTGCACCCAATTAGAGAAGGAGTGTGCGTAGACACATGAATCTTATCTAGTTACTCCAGGACACTAAATTCCTTTCACAAGAACATCCCGTGAGCACATTACACATGTACATGTTCATCTATTTATTCAATTCAATGTAAAATTGTGGTACCATTTAACTTAAAGTATATATGCTTTCAGCTGCCAACTCTTTGGGATGATCGGGATCATTCAAGTTACTCTGTGGTCATCTCTGCCCATTTTCTGGGCAGTGAACCCTGAGCTGGTCCAAGAGAGAGTGCAGTTTTCCTGGTAATGGAGGCTCCTTTGGTAGTAACTACGCATCTAGTTCATGAAAGACTTTGAAATGCAAGCGTTGCAGTGGCGTCGCTGCCACCAACATGGCTCTTTTCAACCGCTGAGGGGGTGCTTCTGCTCAGGGCGGATAACTTGTCACCGTTCTTCTGAATGGTATATTCATGAACTAGAAATTTGTTAACAAATATCAACTCCAATGCACGGGCAAGCGTACTGGCAAGACGTCACAGTGGTGTCGTCGGAAAGGAAATCACACAAACATTGTACGTGGTACTTTAGGTTGTGTATTCCCTCAGTTAACATTATCTTGCCTTGTGACTTAATATCTCATGTTCATATGTTGTATGTTGTAATTTGTTAACAAATATCAACTCCAATGCACGGGCAAGCGTACTGGCAAGACGTCACAGTGGTGTCGTCGGAAAGGAAATCACACAAACATTGTACGTGGTACTTTAGGTTGTGTATTCCCTCAG